ATGATGCATAAAGGATTGATTAATTGGAGCCTACATGAAGTAATGTTTGGAAGAATCGGAAAATGCAAATCTTTGGAGAATCATGAAATTCATTAGAGAAATAATAGAATGAACACTTAAGTGTTCATTCATCAAGTATTAAATTGAGGAAGATGCACAATGATGAAGAACAGAACCTTCAAGGTGCCATGAAATGCTGCCAAATTTCAGCCAAAAGCTGCTGCATGAAGCTAATACCTGATGCACATCCCATATTTTCAAGCCAGATAACTCCAAAACTGCATGAAATTATCCCCAAAGCGTTCTAAAAGGTTCTGCTATTCAAAGTTCAGACTAGAACCAAGAAAGCAAAAATACCCTGGACCAGTAGGAATGATGCTATGCAGTAGGAAAAAATGTCATAAAAGTACTAAAAGCTCTTTTTTCACATTTGTCTCTTCATCCATCACATAAAGCACTTAATGTGAATATCATTCTGCCTTAAATATGTAGCAGGTTGGAGAAAAGAAGAGCAATGAACCAAAGGAAAATTTTCTGCATATTTTTTCTTTGAGACCTCATGTTCAAGTATTTATCATCTTTTGCAGAGCCTTTATGTGTATTTGTTCCAGCTCGTGATGAGGTAATGTTTGTGAAATGATAAGCAATTGTATGGTTGGTGTGTATCTATTACCTTCTTAACTTGTGTAGGTCATAACCATCTATGTTCGAACTTCCAATTTTGGATATAAATGTCATGTGAAATGAGATTCTCAACTTGAATCTGTTACTATTAAATCATAGAAGTAAGGAGTTGACTCTAGTAAATGCTATAAGTGGAGCACCGTCTAGTCTATGTAGAATAGTATTTTGCAAAATTGTACAACAATTGTGCTTGTTTTGTTCTATTATGACCAGTGTCCCTTTTTGGTATTCTTTTTTTCACCTCTTCATGACAAACCTAAACATCCTTGTTGGTTTAGTGGAAACTAAAGCACTCAAATGTTAAATTGTCTGTCATTTTTGTTTTGAATCTTCTCTTTCTTCTAAATTTGAATGCCCACAATAAAAAGGAAAATCTTAAACTCAATAGTTAAAGGAGGCATTCACGTTTCAATTTGTAAGAATCATTGAAAGACTTTTAGGTCTATAACCTTGTTATTAACTGCTGGGTGAGTTGAATCAGTCATGACTCATGAGGTCAATTTAAAATCCTTGTTTAAGTGGTATTCAATCATATAAAGTTATTTTTTATGAAAATTCATGGCATGTTATGATTTTTGTTCTCTGTTTCCAGAGTATTTCTTATTTTTCTATTTTTGTAATTTTGGACTTGTTTTATTTTTTGAGATTTTCTATTTTTTTCATTAATTTAGGTGAAAAAACTGTTTTAACATTCCAACCCAAATGGGTTGAGTTTCATTGGCAATTTTCGACTCATAATTAAAGATTGGGTTAGCTCGTTAAAATTTCAATCACTTGGTGGACCTGCTTTGATAGCACTATAATACCATCAATTTAAACAATTGAAACGTGCAATAGAATAATAAAATTTTGTTAGTTCGATATTCTTCAGTCTCAAAAACAATTTTAATATTTAAGATTGGTCTAAATTACTAATATAAAATTTTAATTCAAAAAATAACGCTAAAAACACCTGAACATTAGTAACAATTCCCCCACAAACTGGTCCAAACCAATAAGACTATTCATTGAGTCTAATTGAGAGGCAGTATCTCTAAATCAAGAATGCACTTCAGTGTAGAAAACAAATTGAGACTTGAAACTCATTAGCAATTAGGGAAAATTTTCATATACACTTCAATGTAGTCGTCGTATACTACTTTGCTTAAGCATAAAACCCATAAAGTTAAAAAAAATGTGAACTTTACTGTTCCCTAATTAATCCTTTTCCTTTGAATAATTAAGACCAATAACATACTCTTGAAATTACCCTCTCAATATTAATTAAGTATTATTTATATATTTTAAACTAAGTGGTTGTTAAGGCAAATATCACAGGTCAATACTCATAATCTTGAGGATATATTTTCTTTAAATTGATAGTTTTGATTTTTTTAATATTTTAAATATTAAAAGATATTTATATCTTTTTAAATAAATCATTAACTTTATTGATCATTAATATAAAATTAATGGTAATAATTGTTCTAAGTACAAGAAGACATTAAATAGTTTCTTAATTTCAAAGACAAAAAAGAAATTACCTTTTAAACTGTCATATTTTAATTTATATTTACTTATATTTTGATATAAGAAATAGCAAGAGTTTTTTCCATTTTGGTGCTATGTGTCACGGATTTTAAATTATGTATCCATATATGGCAGGCAATTAATGTATTTTGTGGTGATTGGGTTGAATCTGAGATGGATCCCATGTGTGTCTTTGGATAGAAAATGGTTTGGGATAGGGTGAAAAGCGCCGTCAAAGAAACAAATAAGGTTGCAATTCAAATAACACTAAAATCATCGACTTGATGTAATTTCTAGCTAAGCCACCCATTAGCCAAACACATAGGACATGTTTAGCACACATACCTTTCTCTTACTTTCCCCTTCATTTCTGCAAAGCAAGATTGAGTGATGGAAAAAGAGGGTCACTTCCAGTAGAAAATGACTTTGCCTTGTGCTCTCTCCAAGGAGGGAAGGCATTAAGCCACAGGCTTTTAACGTTTCTTGTGCCCTACAATTTATGTACGGAATCAAATGCAACCTTTTTATTTGAAGATTAATAATAAGTTCATGCTCAAGAGCCAAATGGAATATTCGATGACCATAGTAGCATATTAAAAAATAGACAAAATTTATGTGTACTTTTAAAATATTTTTGATATTTTTAACTAATATTACAAATTTATCTTGATAAAAAATTATATTTGATATTATTAATAAATTATTAAAATAAAATTTTAATTTTGATTAAAAATAATAATTAAAAATTACATTAAATTTTATGCTAAATTCACTATGCATCTATTCCCGAACTAATAATGGAATGTCAATGACTTTATCTAGAATTAAGTCTGGTGTGAAAAGTGTTAATCTTTTACAATATACCAATTATACTTTAAATTTCCGCTGAGAGAAGCTATAAGAAATAAACAAAAATATTAACCACGTTAATTTAAAACTAAAAGGCATGGCTCAAGTGGGAAGGGCTTATTCTCGGTGTTCACGTAATATTGATCATTTTTTAAGTTATAGGGAAAACCTAGCATGGTTCAAATACGAATTTGTGTCAAATATAAATCTTGGTTTATAGTAAAATAATTTATTTATAAATAACATATTTGGAAAAAATATAATTGAACTATGCTTAAATATAATTTAAAATTTTAAATTATGGTTTAAATTAAAAAAAAAAGAGCTGTGGTCCTTTCCGCATGACCCAACTTCCATTGCTGAAAAATAACTTGCCTTCACCTTATTTGTATAAACAACAAGAAATTTATATATATATATATAATTTTTGAAACAAAATAATCAGTCAAGTTTAACATTTACTTGTCTTTTTCTTTAATGTACTTTTGTCCATCCATTGTCAAAAGGATCGTGATAGTGCATTTTTTAGTAACCCACAAAAATAAATTATATCCATCTTTTCCTTTCCTTTATAAATGTCATACCAAGCAAGAAAAATCAACATCATTATCCCATAACCCTTCATTTCATTTCTATTTAGATTTACACAACAAAGTCTAACAATATTAAACATTAACCTTTTTCAAACCTCCCTAATCCTCAAAATTAATCGTGGTGATCTGTGTTGGCAAAAGTGAGGTATTGTTCCTCACATTTTGTAAAGAGAAGAATCGAATATTTTCTACAGAAAGTGGATCTTAAAGCTATATCTTCGGATTCCTTTCTTAAAACTTGGTTCTCTACACTCGAATTAGGTTCCATAAACAAAATTTCTCAGCTAGAAGAATTGTTTTATTTTGTTAGAAAGGAAAATTTTGATATTGAAAAAATGAAAATAATTTTTTTCCTTAGGTTTTGGGTTTTGACTGATCTAATCCGTTCACAAATTCACCTGTGTTGAGTAAAAGCTCACCTCATTTTATTTTTATTTACAATATTCAAATCCGATAAATGCACTAAATTCACTTAAACCTTTTAATTTAAAGAGGTTTATAAAAATAAAAAAGATTAGAAAAGATTTTTGTTCTTCCACTTCCCCCATATTCTAGCAGAACCATGTATCTAAATCTCGAAATTTTCTTTGTGGAATGTCAATTGTCAGGGGAGCAAGAATGTCAATCCGAGAGGGACTGCATGGCATTATGCTCTTTCAACTTTAGGTTATACTTTATACCATATTGGTGGTGGCCCCTGATTCTAATGAAAAATGATGTCAGATTTACGATAAAAAATAACTAAAAAAGAAAAACTATTGATATCCACAATCCTGGGGCTAATGCATTTGAATGCAAACATTGATTTAAACAGAAAACAGTAATGAAAAGGGATTATATTTGAATTTGAACAATAGTACTTACCTTTTTATTTAGACAATGCATGAAGAAAAACACGCTCACTCAAAATATAAAGAATTGAACAATGACAAGATTTGAGGAGTAATAATAAATAACAGCTCTTCCATTTATAAAGTGGTGCCATTCGCCTGAAACATAAAAACCTACTAGAAATCCACATAAAAAATTCAGAGGCTACAACAGCTCACTGCTACTCCTTTTTTGCTTTCCCTATAACTCATTTTCCCAGGAAACTTAGAACAAAAATAATAAAACAAACACACGGAAGTTCTGGCTTCTTGGATATGGATTCCATTTTAATTTCCCTAGCAGCAAGAATATATATTTCATACTAACATACCATATGCTAGCGAGAATAATAATTAATATAAAATGGTTGCATGGGATCGGAATCTAACAATGATGGATGATTTGGTTGTAGTAAGACTAGTGATGATGCCAAAATTTGAAGCTCATTTGATGACATGACATAGATAATGTTTATGGTGGAGACTTCACAAACAACTACTCAATGAAGCCAGTTTTGGTGAGAATAGCATTCCTCACTTTGCTAAGATCTCTCCCCTTGAGTGTCCTTCCCATCCCTTCACATACAGAAAAAGATGAAATCTGGCTCCTTGCAAGCTTCCTAGCAATCCATTCATGTGGAGGAACCATGTCATCATCCTCATCATCACCCTTGTTGCATACTCCATCATCCCTTGATCCCTTCTTGCAATTCTTCCCATAAATTTTTGACCAGTCAGGGATGTCCATAGGAGCTGAAGACCCTTGAACCAATGAAGCATCAGAAGCAGTATTAGCCCTTGGAATCTTCCTTGGAGCAGATGGTAGGCGCCATGCAGAGGAAGAACCAGAAGATTCCTTGCATGCCCTTGTTGTTTTGGGACCAGACTCAACCCTCTCATTGTTTACACTCCACACATCTTCTTCATCAAACTCTTTGTCCTCCATCGCTCTCCCACCAAAACCCCAACTTTTGTTCAGAAAAACACCTTGATCTGCCATTGCTGTTATAGTGTAAGCAGATTGAGTTATAAGCAGTGATGAAAATGTTTCCTATTTCAATATATATATATATATATATATATATTCACTCTTCCCCCTAACTGTATTGTAGCTTCTAATGAGATAAAATGGACTTTTTTTCTGGTCCTTGGGAATCAAAAAGCAGAAAGGTGTAAGAGAATAATATCAGGAATCTACCTTGCTTTTGTTCCAAAAGGACTTTCAAAATAGAAAAACTCACAAATGGTAAATGTGATAACCCTTCGTTAAATACCAATACAAAGGAAGAAGGCTTGAAAATCCGAGACCAGACTCACAGAATGTTACCTGAAATCTTTTTAATTTTTAAGAAAAGAAAAAATAAGGCACGGGGTGGCAGAAAAAGGCAACAGAAGCAGCAAATGTGAAAGTGTAGATAAAGTACACATATGAGATAAGCGTGAATTATTGTTTGGCCCAGAAAAGAACATGATATATAATAAAGGGGGGAAAAGAAAATGAAAGGTCTTGGCGTGAATCTCAGTTGATATAGCATTTAATAATAACATTATTGCTTGGAAGTAATCAAAGTGAGGTGCTTAATTACAAGAGTCCAAAGGATCACAGAAGAAGGACAAGAAGAAAGTGGGCACATAGAGAGAGTCCCATCATAGCATTTCCAATTAAGAAGAGGAAACACAGGTAGAGGCCACTTATGCTTCTTTCCGCTAATAAAAGTTTCTCTCTTTTATGCATTCTTTTTCATTATCTTTTGCAAAGGCTGCATCTTGATTTGGAGAGGTGGTAAGGGACGATTGGTGTAGCCGTACCTTAGCGATCCTCAACCTTATCTTCAACTCTGAAACATTATACACAAACACAATGCTTTCTCTCTCTTGAGTCAATGCCTTCCCTTCTAGGACAGGGAGCTTACCAATTTGATTGGGTATTAGTATTGTTTTTCCCTTACTACTATGCCATAACATTGAGATTTGTAGCTGACACATGACCATGTAAGGCTTCAAGTTTCAACTGTTATTTAGCCTCTCTTTATCTTCCACTACTACAAGTACCTTCTTCTCCTATGCATCTTCTTGGATTATGGGTTGGTACAATTACTACTACTATAATTAATTGATGCATAGTTGCTTCAATCGCGCGCAAACACACACACATAATGAGTATTTTATGAATAGGGGATTAAATTAATAGGTATCACAGACTAAAATGTGATATTACTTTTATGTTCCCACTTCCATCATGGAACTCCAAATTATGATATCCTGTGTTGAGTCAGTATACGAGACACCCTAGTCCAATGTTTTGCACTGTGAGATAGGGACAAAATTTAACTAGTTTAGGCTGCTTTTTTTTTTTTCTTTCATAGTTATCATGATCGTTCTAAATATTCACTCTATTTTTCTTTCTAACCTTTGGAATGTAATGGGATTTTATTTTCTTTCTAACCTTTCAATAGGTATCACAATCTGTTTCTGTGTGCCATTGTCGCCACTTTATGTAATTCCTGACCATGTATTCATTTAATTTTCATTCATTACTTTAGATCCACAACCGATTTTGCAAACATTGACAGCTATCTTGGGTCAAAAGCCATGAATAGCTGTTTGGAGTGAACTAAAGAATAACTACCCACTGGCATAAAACTATTAAAGTAAATTTTATTTTTCTTAATAATTTTTTTATACAGGTGATTAGAAATCTAATCTTTATATTTAAAGGACATAACTATTTACCAATTATGTTAAACTTTGTTAGTATAATTAACTTTTTGATAAAAGGCTAAGTTAAGAATTTAAAATAAAAATATTTAGTTTAAGTTTTTAATGTATTTTTTTTCTTTTTTAATGCCGTATTCTCTTATCTTTTCTTTTGAATAATTTTTCCAAACTAAATAAAAAAATGTTAAATTATATTATATGCATTTAATATTTATAAAATATAAAAGTATTTAATAATTTTAATTTCATAATTAAGGAATATTACTAGGAAAAAAATATAATAAAATTTAAAAATATTTTTAACTCTTTATCAAGTGTCAACACTTGTTAAGATAACCTTAGTTTTTTATTATTTAAAAAAGTGAGTTCGTCTTGTGTTATGCACAAATCAAGCACAAGTTTCCACATCATTTTACACGCATTACTATTCCTATTATTCTTTTTTAAATGTTTAAAACAATGGTATAGAAATTAATAAATATAATTAATATTTTTATTAATATTATTTTTTCAATTAATATACTAATTTCTTATAATTATACTTGTTATTGGGTTATTGAAATATCTAAAGCATGCAGGATCGTAAACATTTTATAATCATGTGAAACAATGTTTAGAAGAATTTTTGGAGAGCTTATTTAAATATATCAAAATAAATTAAAATTTTATTAAAATTTTAAATTTATCCTAATAATATTTTAGTATAATTTACAAAATATTTTTTTTACTTTATTTTAATAAATTTTATGATTAAATATGAGTGATATAAAATGTAATTAACAATAAAACTCTAATAGTTTTTTAAGTAACTATATCTTTAAGATTTAAACTTGAAGCTATTAGAAATAATTTTGTACCAACTATTTTATGCATTTGGTGGTTATTAGACAACCATACACTATATTTAAATATTGAATATGATTTGTATGCAGAAACACTTCATGACTTATAACGAACAAATTAATTGCAACAGTAAGCTTAAATCCTGATTGGAAGGGCTTTCAAATCATCATTTTTTACTGAACATTTACTTCTTGCAGCATTCTCCTATGAATGTCAAGGCAGGCGCTTTGAAACAAAGGTGAGACAAACTGCATTTGTTGAATAATCTCAGGGAACCTCCATGGATCATTAATATCACTTCGTATCAGATTGTGGTATAAAGGGACACATTGCACTTCATCAGTTAATGTTGTGATTGCATCTCAAATCAAACGGCTTCCCATTCGACAAATAAAATTCACTATCAATCTTTTTATTATCATGCCAGAGATTATTATAGTCATGAAAGATTTTAATACTCATTCTTTGTCCAGTAGATTTTTGTTTTCCTTCTATTTTGTCTAAAGAAATAGGTGTTGGTCATTACCAAAAGACAATAAAAAGATTTGACTCTTATTCAATTCTTGAATTTCAATTCTACAGTGCACGAAAAGGAACTTGCTCGATCTACACTACAATGTGGCCATGTAAAATTTATTTACATTATTGTCTGTCAACAAAATAATGAAATTGAAACATTTGAGTCTTGCCTCTACATTAAACTAATGTCACCTTGCAGTAACTTTTTTCACTATGATTCGCTATATGCAACTATTTACTCTTTAAAGCTTACCACTAAAGCTGTACAAAGGGGTGAATCTTAATTTGTATCGCACTTCCTGTCCATTTAAACCTCATGCTGCCTTGCGTGCTGCATGGTAAAGCTCCAAATAGTCAAGAGCAGGCCGGTTCCAAGACCAGTCTTGCTCCATCACTCTCTTGCATAACGTGTTGAACCAATCACGGCCATCGTACCATGCTGATATTGCTCTGAAAAAATCCATAAAATTAATCTTGCAATAAGAAACAGCAGGACTTCAGATATACAGAAGTCCTTGAGTGCATGTGTGTGGCAACAACATGAAAGATAAAACAGTTCAATGTCAAAAAATGAAAAAATGCATCCTGCTTTTGGTTTCCCCCCTGTCCGGGCCAAAGCCAATTTCCAAACCTCTTGACCCATGAAAATTTCAATATAAGAAATTCAGCATACAGTTTTCGTTTCAAAGGATTTTGTATGCAATGTTGGGACACCTAAAACTTTTTTACAATATTATGATATTAAGGAAAAGAAAAACATGTTTCCAGTTAAAATCAATCACATCTTGCAACAAATTAACATACCACTGGCCCTTGTGTATGGGATCTTATCAGGTCTCCTGCCATAAATATGATTTTGGAAGGACTTTTAGACTACTAACCAAGTTTTGAAACTTTAAAATCTACCTTGGATAACTACTAAATTAACTTCTGTGTTTATGCCAACTGTTACATTTTGTTTTTGGTTTTCCATATTATGTCTTCACCTGGTAAATAAGAGACTCGTCTACCAAGTATAGTCTGGTGTCAAAAAAGGACAACCTTCTCAAGTCTCAATGGTATTTTTTCCACACATAAATTTCAGGATTGAAACCAAAACCACATGCTCAAGGGACCTAAGCCTCTTCCACTCAAACTAACATACTGTACCATGTTTTTTAGAGTGGTGGCATTGGCAAATTGATGTTTTTCATGATATAACTGCCATAACATGGCACATAACTCACCTATTGAGAGCATAATCAACACCTCCAGCATCAGCTCCATCAAAACTAAATCCATTTGTCTCAAGACCTTGTGCTTGTGCTCTATCCTTATCATGATCAACGTCAAATACTGTATCATACAGTCCTGCAAAATTAGATTAAGATGAATGCCAACTGAACCAAAACAAAGCTGAATAAACTAAAAAAATTGAAAAGATAAAAAGTATTCTACATATAAATTTATATAGGCTAATGGTCAATGTAATTTCAGGATCTGCATGTTGACCATAACATTTAAATGAATTATAATTTATATTGTTGACTAAATATAAAGCATGTGCAAACCTCCAGTTTTTCGAACAACAGGTATTGAACCATATCTCATTGCTGTGAGTTGAGTGAGTCCACATGGCTCAAAGATTGAAGGAACTAGAATGAAATCAGCACCAGCATATATCTAGAATAAATAATAATAATAATAAATGAGTCAGTCGCACAGCAAGCCATATGTTGTACCTGTATATCTAATAAATAAAAAGTTACCAAAGGTTTTTTGAGTTTCATATGTTACCAAATGTGAAAGAGGCTCATCATATGCAAGGCAAAGTCTAGCACGATCATTATGGGAGGAATGTAAATGATTGGCCAAATTCACAAAATCATTTTGGATACGAGGATCTGGAGCTGAACCAAGTAATACAACCTGCATATCTTTTTACAGTCAAGACATCTACTTAAATGCAACATTTGTAAACAATTCCAAAATTGAACAATAAAATCTAATAACTAATTCAAATACCTTATTTACCCTGGGCTGAAATAATGAAAATTATCAGCACCTATTTGAAGCATAAAACTTTGCCTCAAGAAGGGTATAGGGTAAGGTGGGTTCCAAATTTAAGATATCGTACATCCTGAACATTGATGCTAAACCACTTTACTCAAAAGCTGAAACTGATGTGGAGGCTAAAAACTGGCCACCTATCTTTAACACAAGGGTGATGAGGATTGAACTCAAGAGTCCAAACAATTTAAAGAAGATTTAATACCACATTAGTTGTCAAGTAACCACTTGGCCAAATATCTTGAACCATGAAGTTTCTATCAAATATCAAGTATGATCACAAAATGGTTTTGGTAATGATATAAAAACACTAGTTAAAATGTTTATTTGATTTATTATCCCATACCAAACCACTATTATGTAGGCAACTATAGCATTGCTGCTGCAGACTTCTATGTAAAAGAGAAACAGAGTAATACCTGTCCACCACGTTCTAGGGTGCGCCACATGGCATGTTTGATGAGATGGATTCCTTTCTGATGAGTCAGTCGAGTAATTATTCCCACTAAAGGAAGATCGGCTTTTTTTAAACCAAGCCTTTGTTGCAAGGCTTCCTTGGCAGCTCTTTTTCCTTCAACAACATTTTCTGAGGTGTATGATACCTGGTGATGTGATATTGGAACTAGTCATAACTGAATTAGTAGAAACTAAATAAAATAACTTGTATATAATATGTACATGCACAATTATAATGGATGGGGTTATGCTAATGACTCATGGTAGTGCTTACTGAACTCAACATACCAGTGTTAAACACTGGATTCAGACAAATAGAGAAGAAAATGGATTTTATTTAAGAATCCCAACCCAAATTCACTATCAATGTGATACCTGAACCAGGTAGGTGAGAACAGCAAACAGTAATAGCCCAGGGTGATTTGAGAGCCCCAGAATCCCTCCCACTAAATCAATTTCACCACAAGAGTCCGCTTTCTCTGCCCCAATTCCCCTATTTACTATTTAACTACCTCTTTAACCAACTGTTAATTACATACAACTGCAGGTAGTCACAATTAATTCAGGGTGCTGATCCCCCGTGTGCTTCCTGTTGCTTGACATATCCTCCCCTAATAGGTGGTCTATCAGAATCCATCAGTCCATTTGCATTTAAGAAGACTTCCACAGTAAAACAACTTTTCTATGTTAAACTCAGATGGGCATGTGTGCAGTTGTGCACTGTAGCAACTGCAACAGTTGAGCAGAAGCATAATTGAGGTGGATATATTCTGCATATTATTGATCCATCCCAAACACTCCCAAACTTACAGCATAAAGATGATGCAAGTGACTTCACTCTAATCAATATAGGGTAGAGTCAGTCACTATGATTATCCAAAGGAAGTAAAAAGTGATGACAAACACCATTCATCAGCATCTTTCTAGCTTAAGTTTTTAACTGTGGTAAGTAAACAGGTTTGAAGCAGCCACAATGTTGGGACTTAAATTTGATAACTATACACCATTTTAGGCATGCAAAAAGACTAAGAATAGATCTGTGTATATGTATACTTACAGGAATAAAGTTATCATTATACGGGTCCCATATATCTGGGTCAATTCCATTTATTATACCATGGAACTTGTGAAGATGAGGAGCAACTGCAGGATTCCCAGCAACCTCTCTTGAATATGTGGGGGAGACCTTTCAAACATGCATCATAAAGACATAAAATCAGTCAGCTTCTCCGTCAACTCAAGTTACTGATTCAGTTTAACCTCCAAAATTCTAGTTGTGTCACAATTTTATAAAATTCATATTATAAAGGGGAAATACTTATTTGAAGTAGATTTCAAGGAAACAAGTGGCCAATGAGAGATCCAATCAAATTCTGGACAAGAAATGCTATTACTTTTAAGTGCACTATCACAGACAAACTTTAACATGTATTTTTTTTTCTCTACATTAAATTTATCTAAAAAAATCCAGCACACAGTTCTCTCCATGATCCCTGAAGAAAGTTTGTCCACTTGTGTCAATTAATTTTTACTTGTAAAGAAACACCATCAAGAACATCTAGATAGAAACTGATTCTTTCTAGGGAAAAGAAGATTAAAACAAAAATGAACAGTTCCATCTGACTATGTCAAATCAGAGCTCTGTATATAGACGTTATTGGTTGGAATTGAAATCCAATAACATAGTAAGTTCAGAGCTACACTCATAAGTTAATTCAACAAGTTCCATAGTCAGAGTCCAAGTTCTGAATCCCCGTAGTTGGATGGAATCCAAATACCCTGAAAGTTAGGGAAATTGAAAAATTTAGAGCCTAATCAGCACTTACAGTAGTAGCCTTGTCTGCACATGCCATAGCTTTTCCAATGAAGTGGGCTCCAAATTCAAGGTTATGAATTGTGAAGACTACTCGCGCTTTACTAAGCCCGTAATGTGTATAGTTGTCCTTAAATATCCATGCAACTGGAGCACTCGACCAATCATGGCAGTGGATGATATCCTGAAGATTGGTTAGAGCTAATTAAAATACATCCCTGACAACCATCTAAAATTAAATATTTTTTCTTCCAAAAGGTGGGATGATATACATTGTTAAACCAGAGATTGCATGCTTTATACAAATGGAATGTTAATTAAATCTTAAATAGAAATAACCCAAGTGGGAAAGCTGATCATTGGGAAAGGTGCAGCATACTTGCAAATTTAGAATGATATTCTGATAAATGGGTGTTTCTCGTGTAATACTTATGATCATTTCATGAATAGGAAATTTTTTTGCAATTATGGATATGCAAGCATGTAAACAAAAAACATAGATCAACGATGTAAACAATGAAAATGTAGTTAACGTGTTAAAAACAGAGACTTAGTGGCAACCCCTTCCCCCCAAAAAAATAAAAAATTGGAAAGGTGTCGATACTTGCATATATAGATTGTATTTTGAAAAGCATCTATTTCTTGTGTAATATTTTTGGTCGATTTGAGAATAGGAAGTTTAGTTACAATTACATATACATGCATGCAACTACACAAGACAGGCATAAATCAACAACGTAAGAATGAAAAAATAATTAGTGTGTAAAAGTAGGGACAGAAATATCTCTTTACTCTTCTAGCTATTAATGACTCTCAAATGAAAAATTGCATGTATATCATAATTTTGAAGACTAGTGAGATTTGAATTTGTTTAGTAGCCAAAGGATAGAAACTTTTCCATTCTGTCAGTAAAGGATGTTACTTGGAAGTTATGACATTGAGAACTCTTAATAAAAAATAGAATAAAATAAACAGCTCAGTCACTAGTCAAATAATAAGTCTTACAGGATGAAATCCATTTTGGAGTAGAAATTCAAGAGCAGCATGACAAAAAAAAGCAAATCTCTCTGCATCATTCCCACGACCATATACACAACCAACCTGAAAAAATCTGTAGGAAAGAATATTGATTTGTAAAGCTTAGTTCAATTTATGAAGCATTTGAAGTTTTCTTGTCATCTTAATGGCAATGTTCATACAGGGTAAATATGCAGTTACCCATAAATAAAAGGGAAAAAAGAGCAGAAATGATGAAATAGATACACTTCTAGGTATATAATATAATGGTTGCATATAATCACAATTATAGTTTCACACTCAATGCCAATTTTAGCTAACTCCCAACAATAAACAATAATCAAATCTTATCTCATTAGGTGAAGTTGACTACATGAATCACATGATGCTATTGAATTCAGTCAAAAATCAAAATTGCATAAATCTGGTTAATCAAAATGTTTCTCTCAATAATTTCATTTAAAATTCTTTTGGGTCTCCCTCGATCTCTCTTTATCGATTTAAAAATCATGTAATTCACCTTATTGCTAACGCTTCCAAAAGTCTTTTTTATATATGAACGAACCACCTTAAATAATTTCTAGTCATCTATTTCATTATGAGTTACTCCAATATTCTTTAGGATACAATCATATTGTATCTTATAATTTCTCGTGTGTTTACTCATTCATCTTAATATTCTCATTTATGTCACTTCCACTTTTTTCTTGTGTTATTCCTTTGAAGTTTAACATTTAGTACTATTAGGACACTTGGTTGCTTTACTCATAATGCTTCAAACAAATAGAATCCCAATAGAACTTCGTTTTGAATCTACCATAGCTATTCTGTTAGGTCTAAGTCAATTGGACCCCATTAAAGAGATATATCAAAGGAAAAGGGGTAAAATGGGAAGAATGAGCCAGGAGGCCGTTATGCTAGATCCTAACAGATTAACAAATTAGCATACGTGGCAAGGAGGGTGGGGAAAAGGAGAGTGGCAGGGAGAGAGACATTATATAGAGGTTGAACACTCAGCCAAGGATAGGATTTATCTGGGAGGTCATTTGGGGTGTGGCTGCTGCCATAGGATCTAATTTTGTCATTATTATTTGCTTTTGTTATTTCATTTTCTGTTGTACTGTCAGGGTATCCCCTGAGGTTTCTGCGATTAATTCCATACACGTACTCAGTTCCTATCATGTTCACTTTGATGATAAGGTGAATATTTTGAGAGGAATATTGTTAGGTAAATACAATATGTTAGTTACTTGTTAGTAATTACAATATTTCAATTAGTTAGCCTAAATTTAGTTAATTAAGCATGTTACCTATAACTAAGTAGAAGGGACGAGGAGAAAAATATCTTGTGAAGTTAGAGAAGAAAAGGGTCTTTGGACACTGGGAGAGAACTATGTCTCTTGATTAGAAAGAGCTTGCAAAATGAGTTACCAAGCTCATTTGGACCAATCCGTTGTGGGTGATAAGCTTTAGCAGATCAAGTAAAAAACATAATTTAATTTGAGCTCACAAAAATAATATAAAAGACAGATAAAGTGACTTTTTACAAATTGTTTTAGGCTTATCCTATATCAGGCTTGATCGGATTGAATTTAAAAAGTCTAATTTTAATTTGGACTCAAAATTTAAGGCTCAAACCCTATATTTTATTGGACAAATTTAAGCAAGCCAGGTTGCCAAACCCATTTTGTTGGCTCTAATTGTAGAAGTGGTGCTAGTTTTTGTTGGATTACCCATGATTTGAATTCATTATACAGTTTCAGAAAGATACACCAGCAGTTGACCTTCAAATACAATTCAGGTTAATATCTGAAAAAGTACCACATTAATTGAACAAATTTATCCTGAATACTGTACAAATTTGGGTTTAACAGCTATGAAATGGAACTTATGAACTTCACTCAACCCAACCTTACATGTTACTCAAATATTTCAGCCTCATCTTTGGTACTAACTAAGTTTTGAATTTATTGAAAGCCTAGCCAGCAAGTTGCTTATATGTGCCTGATCACCAAGATTCCTACTTAGTACCCAAAATCTTGGGCACTTAAAAGTAGTTTGTTAGGATGAAGAGAGTAGTTTGTTAGAAAAATGATTAGTAGTTAGTTTGAATAGGTATGTTGGCTTTTAAAGTATTAGATATAAGGAGCTAGTTTAAATAGGAGTCAGGAGAGTGTAGACGAGAGAAGGGTTATCATTTTAGGAAACCAAGCATTAGCTTTGTTGCAGAAAGGGAAGCCCTTGGAAGGCAGAATCTTATCCTTAGGTTCTTTCTAATTCAATAAACTCTGCCAAAGCATTCTTTTTCCTTTTTTATTTCTGTTTTTCTTGTCTTTCCCTCCTAAAGACTGAGAATTCCTAACATCTACACATAGCAACTCGTGTCCCAACTCCCAAAGAATACAAGCTTTTAAGATTGCCATCAAGCAATTTTGTTATAATATTGTTCAAGTTCAATTATGTGATTGTCGTAACCAGAATATTTTGCATGCTATCTTAACATGGATATTTCTCTAACCTAGAAAGCTGATGTTAAAAAAGGTATTTGTCCAAAAATAACGAACATAAGAAGCACTTAATTGACATACATTAGAGAAAAGTATGGAGAACCAAAGCATTTACCCATTCTGAGGCTCCAAAAAGTAGACAGAGAGGCCTTCAACCTTTCCATGCCATACTTTTATTTCAGTCCCACCCCAGACATAGTTTTTGTGGCATCGAAAGTCCTTTACCTGCATTATAGCCCATGCATTTATCAGCTATTAAACACAATATATGCATATACCTTGAAAAAATGTTAAGGAAAGTGCTTAACAATAGCCATTATATCATCTAAAAGGGCCACTGATGCCGATGCTCAACAGCCAAATGTGAAGAAATTTACTCAACCAGTCATTCATTTCTATGCAGAAGCCCATCAAACAATACTTGTATCCCCCCACCCATGCAATTATTGACCAGTTTCATATGGAATATCAAACTGTAGCATTTTCAATGATCATTACAACAGCATGCTGTATTCAATGAAGAGTTAGGGACAGAACAGAAAACTCAAGGAATAGACATTAAATATCAAATGCAGAGTATAAGATGCAATATAAGTACCAAAGTAAAGTAGGGAAAAAACAACTTACATTGCTAAGGTTCAAACAGTCATACTTTGGAAGAATGATGTCCACATTGTGATTTAAATCCTGAACAGCCCGAGATAGACTAGTAACAACATCACCAAGGCCTCCAACCTACCATAAATGAATGAAACAGAAAAAAGTTATTTTCTGTACAAAGTTTTAAAAGAGGAAAATAGAATGAAAGCAAGGTAGCAAAATTGTAATTAAAAGTTAAAACAGAAAATATATCCTGAAACAAATTAGCACCTTAATTTTTCATCTCTAAAAATTCTCAAACTCCACTTTTAAAAAAACTTACAACAGATTTGTTGATTTATTTTTGGAAAAGACTGTTAGACCTTTGATTAGAAAAGTATATGTTAGGAAAAATAAAGGTGGGGCCCGAGTAAATAAAAATAATAATTGACTCTAATGCAGTTGTTACAATTGTTTTTATTAATTGAGAACAAATAGGGCCAAGGAGAAAGGTGGGGGGAGGGCAATTGATTAGACATTTGGGATTAGGCTAGGAGAGATCATCTCTCGAATTCCTGAAGGCTGATATTGTTGTAATAATTCTTTTTCTTTGTGTGAGGGTACCAAATCCCTAACCAGTGTTATCAAATGGCGGCCGTGGCGGCGCCATGGCAGTTCTGAAGACAGCTGTTAAACCGCCTCCGTTAGATGGCTGATTCAGATGGCGGCGCCATGGCGACCGTTACCCGCATGGCGGTAGCGACAGCCATGGCGGAAATCCTTCAAAAATGGCGGATTCGACAGTTTGGGCCCAAACCCGACCCGGCCCAACGGTGACCCGCGCAGAAATAAGGTTAGTACCCCTCTTCTTCGACACTCAAAGCCGACCCCATCTCAGATCTCTCTCTCTCTCTCTTCTAATCCCTCTCGTCTCCGATCTCATCTCCGTTCGTCTGGACTCTCCAATCCCTCTCATCTCTATTCGTCTCTTTGTTCTCCGACGTCGCACTCATCTTCCATTGCTGTTTTCTTTGACTTGTTACTGTTCTGCTGGTGGCTGTGACTGTTCTCCATCTCAGGCGACCTGAACCTCCATTTCCGGCGACCTGAACCTCCATCTCCGGCGATAGCAATCTTTTTTTGTATTTCCCTCTCTCTTCCAGTTTTTTTTTTTATTTCTTCCTTTCTGTTTTTCTCTTTCCATGGTTCAATTTTTTCTTCAACCACCTTTCTGTTTTTTCTGAGTTTATCCTCAAAAAAGCCCATTATATTTATTTCAGCTTCTCTTAACATGGCTCAACAAGAATCTTCATCATCAAGAGTTTTTAATCGATCCGACCCGGGATGGAAATACGCTCATTCATTGAAAGAGGGTGATACAAACAACATTGTATGTAACTTTTGTGGAAAAGTTATGAGTGCTGGAATTACTAGAGTGAAACAACATTTGATTGGAAAGAAAGGTAATGTGAAAGCTTGTCCCAAGTGTCCCGAAGAAGTTAGAAAAGAGATTGAGGCATATCAAAAGGATAAAGAGAGTCAAAACAACTTTGAAATGCCAAATGTGAGAAGCTTTGAAAGTGTAAGCTATAATGAAAGTGAGGATGAGGAGGATACCCAAACACATACTATTGCCATGGGTAATCAGAAAGGGCCAATGGATTTGTTTTGTAGAAAGCCAGAAAATGCAATTGAGAAAAGGAAAAAGTTAAAATCGAGACAAGCAAATATAAGAGAAGTTTGTGACAAAGAAGCCAAAGCAAGGGTCCATCAATACATAGCTCGATTTTGGTATCAAGCTGGCCTTTCCTTTAACCTCATTAAAATGAAGAGCTTTCAAGAAATGCTTACAGCTGTTGGTGATTTCGGTCCAAATTTACCAGTTCTAAGTTATCATGATATTCGAGTTCCACTTCTAAAGAAAGAGCTAGAATATACCGATTCCCTCATGAAAGATCATAAAGAGCAATGGAGCAAACATGGTTGTTCCATCACGTCAGATGCATGGACCGATCGAAAGCAAAGATGCTTGATTAATTTTTTGGTCAACTCTCATGCTGGTACTATGTTTGTGAGGTCTATTGATGGATCTAATTTTGTGAAGACTAGTGAAAAATTATTTGAGATGCTTGATGCTCTTGTGGAAGAGATTGGAGAAGATAAAGTTGTGCAAGTGATAACGGATAATGGAAGCAATTATGTCTTGGCTGGTAAGATGTTAGAAGCAAAAAGACCACATCTTTATTGGACTCCTTGTGCAGCTCATTGCATAGATCTTATGCTTGAAGATATTGGAAAGCTTCCTTTGATAAAGAAGACAATTCAAAGGGAAATATCGGTTGTTGGCTTTATCTACAGTCATTCAAGTACCTTGAGTTTGTTGAGAAATTTTACAAACAAGAGGGAATTAGTAAGACATGCAGTTACTCGATTTGCAACTTCTTTTCTATCATTAGAAAGGCTTCACCAAGAAAAAACAAATCTTAGAAAGATGTTTACTTCTGAGGAATGGTGTAAAAACAAGTTATCAAAGGAAGCTAAAGGGAAGCAAGCAACAAAAATTCTATTAAATCCTGTATTTTGGAATAATGTGGTGTATACTTTGAAAATCATGGCTCCTCTTGTCCGGGTGTTACGTTTAGTTGATGGAGAAAGAAGACCAGCCATGGGGTATATTTATGAAGCAATGGAGAAAAGTAAAGAAGCTATCATGAAGTCATTCAAAAATAATGAAAGTAAATATAAAGATGTGTTTGCAATCATTGATAACAGATGGACTTGTCAGTTTCACCGTCCATTACATGCAGCTGGTCACATTTTAAACCCAGAATTTTACTATGACAACCCTCAAAGTGAATTTGATTTGAAAGTTACAAATGGGTTGTATGATTGTATCAAGAGGTTGGTGCCAAGTCGGGATGTGCAACAAAGTATATTATTTGAATTACCAATTTACAAGAGTGGTGGTGGTCTCTTTGGTTCTGACTTTGCAAAATCACAAAGAAAAAGCATTGCTCCTGGTAATTCATCAAATTCTTCAATATTTTAATTTTAAAGTTATACTTCATCTTTAGAGTTATAATTTATCTTTCGTTTTATAGCTCAATGGTGGAGAATGTATGGACATTCAGCTCCACATTTGCAGCAACTAGCTATCAAAATTTTAAGCTTGACATGTAGTGCATCCGGATGTGAACGCAACTGGAGTGTTTTTGAGCAAGTAATTTTCTATCTCTCGAGCCTACTACTTTCTTTTAGAAATTAGAGAGAAACTAATTAATATTCTTATAATTAAACTCACGTTGCAGATTCATTCAAAGAAGAGAAATAGGCTTGATCACAAAAAATTACATGACTTGATTTATGTGAAATACAACCAACAACTTAAAGAACATTACAATCTTAAAGATGTAATTGATCCAATTACACTCAATGATATTGATGAGTGTAATGAGTGGTTGGTTGGAGAAATGGATGATGATGCTCTAGATGAGGATGCTGGAAATGACTTAGTTTTTTATGGTGATAACACTTTAAATTGGGCAACTGTTTATGAAGCTTCTGGAATTGGAGAGCCTACAACATATACTAGGCGCCATTCTAAGAAAAGAAAGAGTCCATCAAGTGGTATCACTATCAAAGCTGCAAAAGTTGCCAAGATCAAGGCATGTTCAATAACAAAAAGAAAAGAGAAAATAGTTCTTGAAGATGATGATGAAGAATTAGAAGATGAAAAAATGTCGGAAGAAACAGAAGATGAATTAGAATTTAGTCTTCCACAATCTGAAGGAAAAGAGGAGGAGGGATATGCCTTGGTGGATGAGAAAGAGGATGATTATGTTGGAGTTGAAGAAGAAGACTAAACTAATAATCTTTATTTTTATTGTTAACTTGACATTTGATAATTACATATTTTGTATTTAATTATACTTTGGATTAAAGGTTATGTTACATATATTTTGAGTTAATCATTTTTTATTATTTTCTGTGACCTATAGTATTTTTTTATATATTTTATTACATCCGCCATAACTCGCCATGGCGGCCGCCATAACTTTATGGCAGTTTTTTGAGTTTCCGCCATGAGCCGCCATCCGCCATTGATAACATTGTCCCTAACACAAAGGTTCAATAGCAATAATACATGAATCTTTTATTGATTTTGTCTTATGTTCTTCTTCCTTTGGTCTAGTTCTATCAACTGGTATAAATTTCTAATGGTACATATAAGAATAGAGGCTCTGTTTCTTCGGAGCTCAAGTTTGAGAAAATTCTTCAGCGGCTCAAGGATGACAAGCGAGAAATGAAAAAACTATTCGACAAAGTTATGGAAAACATCACTTGAAATGCAGAATGAGATGATCACAACACAAACAAAGAAAACAATTTGGAGGAAGACACAAGAAAGAGTCAATCATAGGTCAGGGGTGAAAGAGATCGATGGAGGAAACTAAAGATTCCTATATTTTAAGGAGATAATACATATGGTTAGGTGAATCGAGTGGAGAGATACCTAATTGACATTTCGAAAGAAGCTACAAGCAGTGTTAATAGCCATGGAAGGGAAGACATTGACTTGGTATCAATGGTGAGAGTATTGCACTCAAAACCCTAATTGGGACGATTTCTGATAAGCAATTATAAGAAGATTCCAACCTTCGATGTTGTAAAATCCATATGAAATGTTGAGTTTAAAGCAAACAGAGACTATAGAAGAATATCAAGGACAATTCGAGTTATATGCCGGTCCTCTCAGAGAGGCAAATCCCGAATACCTTATATTTTTAAATGGGTTGAAGGAGGTGATTTGAAAAGAATTGAAGCTACACCATTTAGGTACTCTACCCGAATTGAAGGATCAGACTTAGAGGATTGATAAGAAGGATATGTTACTCTCTGAAGAGGTTAGTGGTAATAACAAAGAGGTAGGTTCCTACAAGAACTACCCTTCTTCAAGAAAGGTAACTTGGGAGGTAGAAAATAAAAGTTTGAATGTCATAGGGGTTGACGGAACCAATGTTATGTTAGAGGTGATTCTAGCGCTTTTTCAGAAGGAGACTCTAATAGCCCAAAGTCTATGGGTTCGTACAGGGGCAGAGGGTTTAAGAAATATTTTATGCTAAGTGGCAAGAGAGGTCTAGAAAAGGCCTATTTTTATGTTTGATGAGAAATTTGGGTTTGGATATGGGTGTAAAAACAAGCAATTGCGGATTCTGTTGTGGAAAGAAGTCACCAATAAAGAAAAGAATGAATTTCATGACTTTGAAGAGAAAGGACTCCCTGAATTTGAAGTCATGTGGGAATCAGTTGCTACTATCCAGGAACATTTTCCACATACCTTGAGAATAAGATGAAACTTTGGAGGGAAGGAGAGAAGGAGAGGAGTATTATTAGACCTTTTATTAGAAAAATATATGTTAGGAAAAATAAAGGTTGAGCCTAAGAAAAATAATAATAATTGACTCTAATGTAACTGTTACAATTGTTTTAACTAATTGAGAATAAATAGGAGGATAAGAGAGACTGGGCTCTCGAATTTCTAAAGGATAATATTGTTGTAATCATTCTTTTTCTTTGTGTGGGAATACCAAATCCCTAACTCAAAGGATCAATAGCAATAAGACACGATTCTTTTCTTGATTCTATTTTCTGTTCTTCTTCCTTTGGTCCAGTTCTATCAAAGACTACCAAATGTAACCATCTGATGCAACAGCATATACCATGTTGGAAATGGATCCTCTCAAGTTGAATTTTCACACGCCATTGTTAGGTTGAAAATTTGTGTATATCTTTGTCGTCATAAATATTCACAAATATTAATAAGGATCAACTTCAACCCATTTAATGCTTCCAAAGAGAGAGAGATCCACACAAAATTTCTATATCACAAAGTCATGTGAAAATTCATGAGAGGGTTCATTCTCACTATAACATAACATGCCACAGGACAGTAAAATTTCTTAATAGTAAACTCCAACAATTTGCAGCCTTGGAAACAAAATAAGTCTTCACACAGCCATATCAATGATATTTACATAAGATATATGCAGTAGACTAGTTCACCTTTGCAATTGGGGCCATCTCAACAGCAATATGGATGATATGCAAAGGTGGTTCCTTCACAATACCTCCAAAAACAGGTATGTGATAATCCATCCCAAATTTGTTATCAAAAGCTCCACCATTTTCACTCTCAGAAAATACAAAGTCCATCATGTATGCATCCAGAGGAACCTTAACTGCAGAAACACAAAATCATTACACTTCTTCGGGAACAAGTGTCTTTTTTCTCGAAGAGAACAAGTTACTACTGACTACACTTTGGATGAAGTTTTATAACACCAAATCTGTAGAAGTATAATAAATCTTGAAACTCTATTTCTAATGATACAAGATCCCTAAACAGGGAATCTAAATACAACACAGGTAATACAGATTATAAACTCCATGCTGCTTTCTTTATAGCATTTGTGACAACAAACACTTAACATTCAGATTAAAGGCCAGCCTACGTCTTAGAATACACAAAGGGTGATGGTATATAAAAATTCTGCATGATTATATTTATCTTTAATCCATGCAGTGGTGGCATATCAAAATTTTTGTACAAAAATCCATATGCAATCAACTGGATCTGAACATCCTTTGCCACCTCTTTGTCTTCTTTAGTGTAGTTGAAATAGCATTATCCATGCACACAATATAAATTGACAACACAATAATTCATTCAATAGAAGGACCAGTAATCTGCTAACCAGAATTGTGCATCAAATATGATGATAACTTCAAAAGTGGTAACAAAATGTATTTGGAGGACAGATCATTAACCAAAATATATGAAGAGAATATAAAATCTAAATTAAGCAATGAAAGAGACATTAAAATCCTTGATATTACTAATTGCTGGAATACTATTGTTTAATAAACTTCCAAATGCAAACTATGAGAGGGACTCACCAGAGGCTTTGACGTGAGTGCCATTCTCTGCAGGCAACATTCTCTGAGGTGGCAATGGACCATTACGGTGAGACCAGCGATTGAATGAACATCTAAACCAAATCTCAGGTTTTCCATTCAGATTTGTGTTAGAGGAGTTATAAAATACGGTCACTGTGCTCCCAGCCTGAACATCAAGAGGGTCAGTGAAGACGATATGCTTTTGAGAAAGCAAAAATCTTTTCAAAGTTCTTTCTTTTGTTTCAGCTTTCATTTGTGATGTTTTTTCAGCCTGCAACAAGAATAGGATCAAATCAACATGCTGAGTGTTTATTAACTTGAATATCAAGAATGCTTAAATGAGCAAAGTAGTATTTAGCAAACAGTTATAGGAATCAATCTAGAACCACGCTCTGGACAAAAGATGAACTTATCCTCCATGCTCAGGATTAGATTATAAGAATACACTATCTCTATCTTTCTGTATATATTTACACAAAGGAGTACAAGAACGGAAACAGACAACTGAAAAGCTTGTTATTATGATTGACAAGTATCTTAGGTTAGTGCCTCAACATTACCATTTTGAAGTGATCTCAAGCAAGAACTAACCTTTGCACGTATTGCTTCCTCCCTTAACTTCCTCTCCTCCTGAAGTTTTCTGTATATTGACTGCTCTTCCTCAAGCCAAAAATGTTCATCAGGTGTAGCCATAGGGACAATAGTATGGAAATCTTGCTTATGATTGTTATCATACACTACTGCATTTCGGGGTGGACCATTGGCAAAGACCCAATCCAGGACAAGAGCTTGGTCAGGTACAACAACTGCATGAAACATAAAAATTTATCAAAAAGGGTGTTGTTTACTTCAAACTAATCCTAAAGAAAAGATCAAGTTTTAATGCCTCTTCTGAATCTGAACCAGCATTCTTTTGCTGACCTTCAAACATTCATATCTAAAACAGTTTAAAGAGTTGATGAGTCTAAACCCTACTCTAGAAGTAAACATCTACTGCTTCATATAAGAAATTTCTCTCTCTCTCTCTCTCTCTCTCTCTCTCTCTCTCTATATATATATATATATATATATATATATATATATATATATGAAATTTCATCCAAACATAGAAATCCAAAGCAATGAGTTAGAATTTAGAAATAATTGTGTAACTTCTAGTGTTCAAGATTCAAAATTCTCATAAAAGATTTTAAATAAAATGATTGGCATAAACATCAATATCCATGTCAAATCTGCAACCTTTTCATTTTTAAATTAAAAGATGGACATGGCAGATCAATAAAATCAAGTCACTTCAACACTGATTCTTCTATTCGATAAAAAGGGTACTTCAGAATCATGTGTACAGTCATACTATTCACCTATTGCATCACCATCTTGTATCCGCACATTCCACAATATATTAATTTTTTTTAAGTCCAGTAAAAGATTAATTTCAGAGAAATGACTTTGCATCGAAGATAAAGAATAGATATGTAAAAGAGCATACCATCAGCGTACCACCAATCACCTCCTTTTAAAACAGATTTGACAAGCCTTTCAACAATTGATAATCCATCCCTCCAATTATTGTGCCCACCATGAATCCATATTTCATTAGCATGTGCAAGAGGACCTGAATTTTTGTTATAATATAATCTGACCAAGTCCTTGCCTTTAAATTCACTTGGTTCAATATACCAAACATTATCAATGGATTTTGCAGCTTTTTTCATCATTTGCGACAATGTTGCTTGCATTCTGTCAACCTCCACCCTCGCTTGTGACCTGTCAGCTTCCTTTGCAACTCTGTCTGCTTCCATTCGCCTTTGCTCTTCAGCTTGTCTTTCCCTTTCTGCCTGCTCCATAGCAAGTTTTTCTAATTCTTTACGTTTCTCCTCAAGCAAGAAATCTTCAAATGCTAATGCATCCATTATTCCACCTTCAATAGGTATGCAGAAGTCTTTTCGGTCATTATTGTCATAGACATTTTGTCCATTGAAGAACACAAAGTCTACTTTGTAGGCTTCTTTTGGCACATGTAAGTGGCAAGACCACCAATCACCTTTGAAATTTGTTTTACTCAACCTAATGGTAAAAGATTTCCACTTCCAATCATTGAATGCCCCCATGATCAGAACATCTGGTTCCTCACTTAGTGTTGAAAGGTTTCTGTTAAGGAAAAGTTCTATATCTTGATCAGGTTTAACCACAGTAGGATATACAAACAGCTTGGTCCCCTGTGAAAATTTTTCCTCTGCAATCCTCTCTATTTCATGCTTGCGCTGATTTGCTTCCAACTCTAACTTCAACAGCCGAGAAGCTTCCTCATTTATTCTATCATCATCAGCAGTGCTTGTTTCCTTGACACCTTCCTTGGTTATTTCATCATCAGTGTCAATACTTGTTTTTTTAACATTTTCATCAATTTCCGCATGCTCTAATGACCCTTCTTCAGAATCTATAACAATCCCAACATCCCCATTGTAAGGAATTTCCTCCTCCTGTAACTTGAGAACCTCAACATCCTCATCAATTATAGAAATGTTTCCAATTTCTCCATCTTGGTTGCTCCTAAGAACACCCACTGAGTCATCTGCCAATGCTAATTCACCCACATCCCCATCAATTTCATCAGTTCTATCTACAACCTCAAATTTCTCCTCCAGGGAAAATTCAGCTGCCCCTTCTGTATCAGCATCAATATTCACATCAACTGTTTGTTTATTATCACCCCCTGAAACCTCACTAACTACTGGAGTTAATGAATCTCCCTTCTTGACTCTTGTATTCTTCTTACCCCTGTTCTGGTTGCTTGTTCCAACAAAGCCCTTTGAAGCAGGGCCCTTGGGCCTTGGAATTGGCACCTTCTTCTGTTGTTTCCTCCGAGAAAAATCTACCAAAATATATATAAAAAAAAGAAACTCAATCATAGAAAACCTAGCTCATAAGTTCAAAGGAACAATCTTAATATGACTTCATGAAGCAACAAATTAACCAAAAGAAAATAAGGTAACTAACAAACCTGCACTGGCACGAACGCAATAAGCATCAAAACCTGCTTTGCACGGTGAATACTGAAACAAAAAAATAAAAAAATAAAAAATCAACATATTCATATTTGCCATCATATTAATCCAAATAAAATTATTTAAAAAAAAAAGAAGCAGATAACAAAAGTTAGATACATAAAACGTAAACGTTACATAGAATAATAACACAGCAATTACTAAGCAACCACTTACAACCGTTACTGAATGTCTAGGGTAGAAGCCAGAAAACGACTTGAACTTCAAAAAGCCACCTCTGTCGGGGAACACCGCTTTGCAGTTTAGTTGCCAAGACAACTCCATAGTCCCTTACGGTTGATTCCAACAACGTTTCTTCGTGTTCTACTTCTATTTTCACTTCGGGGTGAGCATTCGATCAATGATCACTGTGCTAATAATTTCATGATCTACAATCAACCTTCCTCAGAATCTGTGCACCAAATCCTAAAATAATAATAAAATATTATATTAAAATAAAAAATGAAACAGAAAACAGTGAAAATGAAATGGTTGATACATGCACTTGTAGTTGTGCGGCGGTGCCAATCTCTTTGAAGCGTTTTGATTTTAGTATCTGAGTCTCAGCCACACGACATATGTTAAGCTTGTTGTTTGTTATGTCATGCTTAGACACTCATTTGTTCATGGGAGTCACACGCATCAACGGTCCAAAATCACTTATATTTGAGTGGTTATTGTACGATAATGTTGTCCAATTTCATGTCTCTCTCTCTCTCTCTTGTCATCTACGTTAATTATTAAAGTTCTGCCAACTCAAAAATAAAATTGTTTTTATATTAATTATCTGTCGATATTATGTTAAATAAACATAAGATTACAACTATAGTATAATAATATATGATTAATTGAAGTTTAAAAGTGTATCGATGTTGGAGATTTAAGGGTGAGAAGCAAGAAATCGATGAGGATGTGACAGTGAGGACAATCATGGTGCCAAATTCTTCATTGGTATCATTAATTTGTAGAACGTTTTGGTTAGGGTCACGGACTTATTTGAACTTCAAAAGGAAACACAGGGAAGTGAAGCAAGAAAAGTGAAATCAGTTTCCCCATCTTGCTTAATCACAAGTTGCCAAACTGGATTTATCTCACGTGAGTTACAATTTCACTTTAAGTAATTTGTAATCATAAGAATCTTAACTAGGCTTAAAAAATAAAGAAAGATAAAAAATAATAATACGGCCTATTAAACATGAGAAGATGACCAAGGAAAAGATACAAATACATGCAAAATGACAACTGGATTTTTTATTTTTTTTTCATTTTACTCTTATGTTTACTTCAAAAATATATTTTATTTTTTATGAATATTTTACATATAATTAATAAAAAAATTCCTTTAAATTTTAATTTCACTGAGTATTAGTATATAATTTGATTTATAAGAAAACTATCAAGAAATCTTATTTCATGATATTTGCATAAGATTATTTTTCCTTATTCTTAAACAATTTCTGTCATTGATCAATTTCTATAACAAATTTATGAGTAAAAAAATGATATATTTCTTTAATAGCCAGCAACATAATCTACTAGAAAACACTACTAATGAAACCGTTGGAAAAATGTACAGTGCAACTCATTAATGTAGTCTTGTCAGGTGAGTTTGGATTTAACAATTTTTTTTTACTGGCAATGCATATATTTTAACTGAATATCTGGTGTTTTTAGCTGCCTACTAATGTTTGACCACCAACAATCATCATATGACTAATTGGCTATTCTATTTTGAATTAAATTGGAAAGTATGCATTACATTGACAATATAAACAAAATAAAAATAAAAATTGGGCTATGGGATAAGCTTTTCAAACCAAACATATCAAGGAAAGGACATGTTCAACCTTTGCTCTAGGTCCAACAATATACATGCATATGTATTAATTTTAAAATTTAATTTAAATATACAATATAAAATTTTTCACACTATTATCTAATTATGAATTTATGTAATAATTAATATAAAATTATATGATATATATTAATTGATTGATAATGTAAAAAAAATTACATTTACTATATGTCAAAATTAATATAATGTTACAGATTAATCCGCCGCCACTCCCTAGTTAATTGTACATATTGTTATATTTATTTTGAAACTGATTCTGTCCATAACTTTCTTTTGATTATTTTACTATATATTCTTTATCTTTTTTTTAAAAAATATATTCTACTATTGATTATGAATTATCATGAGTAGCATGGTACTAGTTTTGGAATTGACAATATTTATAGAATTTTTTACTTTATTTTGATACAGATCTATCAACTTTTGGTTTTTGAAAATGTTTATATTCTTTTCATATTTATATCTCCTTCATGTTTTTATTTTCTTCATATTTATATTTCTTTCATGTTTTTTTTACCCAAAAAAAATTTTGGTAGAGCGTGTTAAATCTTTAAAATGTTTGCAGTATTTAAAGGCAAATAAATCTTTAAGTATAGTGTCATTTGATAAGTCTCAAATTATGTTCTTCAATTTTTTCCAACAATTAATAAGAAACTACTATACTCCCAAGTCCCAACTTCAACTGATATTTTGAACATTCATAATTTCTGTGTTTAACTTAATACATTTTCTTTCATATATGAATGAACAGAAATTTTGTTATGGATAGGCAACACTTTGTTTTGCTATTAAAGTCTATGAAAATTCATACACAGGATAAACTCTACTATTATTTCTAAATTTGTTTAAACTTAGTGTTCTATGTATCCTATTCAGTTTCTTATAAATTCGCGAACAAAATGTTTCTGCTTTAGAAATCAGAACATAAGTTTAGGATAAAACAGGAAGACAGAAAAGGGCATTGCAACAATCATGTGTAGACCAACTTCGGGACTAAAGCAATTGTAGCACAATTATGCTTTAGTTGGTTATTTCCCATGAATATTTAACGAATCTAAGATGGCCTATTAGAAATGTATCCTCTTTGTGCATTTCTAAGCTACATATGTTGATTAATCGAACGGAGGCCCAGCAACTTTTTTAGCTGCATAACTTTATTACAAGGAAGCATGACAATAGAATGTGTTTCCAATTACTTACTTATCACATATATTTTGTTGTACAAGGCATAAATTACATGCACTATAATATTTAATAGAATTGACACGAGATTACTTTCTCACTTGCTCTAATTGTTTTGATATACAAAATCCTGTGGGAGTCACTTAGTTTAGAGAATAGATTCCTGAAAGCAAAAAATTAACAAGATTCAGTATAGTGGGAAGGAATGATGAACATATTCAAAGATAAAATCCAGGTAAAAGGAGATCTCTTATCTTTGTGTTTCTATGTTATTTTCAACAATGTGATACTGTTTGAACAGGCATGTATGCACATTATATCTATGATGATAGATGATATCCTGCTTAGTACTTAGTTTCACAGAATGTGATGATATAATATGTTAAAAACATATTTACCAGGCTATCAATTGAGGACCTCAGTACCTTGGTTCAGATCACCTTACCCAAATCTGTTATAATATATGTATTGTTATAAATATCAAACACAATTACCACATTGCAGTGAAACATTTTGTAATTTACAGAAGTATGTGAAGCACTATTTTCTAAGTACAAACATGCCTGTGGTGCAGTTGAGAACAAATCAACAGAGATAACTCTCTGAATCTTTATACAAAGATCTATTATTACATATATAATTTAGAAGGGTTAAACAAAAAAAGGTGTCCGGTTCAGATTGAATTGCAGTATTCCTAGTGCACAAAGGTTGCACAACTTAGAAAGACAACAATAGAAGTGTAAAAATTGCATAATTGTCTTAAACAAACATATTAAAATGAAAAGGGCAATACCCATTAAATAGCAATTATACCTACAAAGAAATTCAATTCAACCATGGATGAGGTAAGAGCCAGAGTGCACACTATTGCAAGGCATTGGCACCAGCCACAATTTCCAGTATTTCACCAGTGATCTTAGCCTGACGTTCCCTATTGTAGATAATGGACAAGTTCTTCTTCAACTCTACAGCATTATCAGTTGCATTGCTCATGGCACTCATTCTAGCAGCAAGCTCACTAGCAAGTGATTCCTGCAATGCTCTCAATATTTGGCTGTTCAAATATAGAGGCAAAAGTGCATCAAGGATCTGAGCTGGGTCCTGCTCAAATTGCAAAATTGGAGAGAAATCTGCTGTTTGAGTCCTCACTGTGTCTCTTTCCACAGTTAACTTTCCTTCTTTTGTTGTTAACCTGAAGAACTCATCCTCAGCAGCATCCACACAAATACCATTCACATCACATATCTCTCCTTTTGGTGAGAGTGGAAGCAAGGTGTGAATTACAGGATCTGACTTCACTAATGACACAAACTTAGTATACAAAAGTTCCACTTTATCAACCTCTTCACTCACAAACAGTGAGAAAACATCATCAGCAATTGCTTGAGCCTCTTTAGCAGTGGGAAGTGTACCACCTTCAAGAAACCTATCAACCGGTATGTAAGGTCTACGAATGAAATAAGAGTTACCCTTTTTGCCAACACTGATAACAGTGTATTCAAGGCCAAGTTCCTTCAACTCAGCAATTCTAGTCTCAGCTTTCTTGATGATTGCATTGTTAAAACCACCACAAAGACCTCTATCTCCAGTGCAAACAACTAAGGCCACCTTCTTCACAGGCCTAACCTTAGTGAGAGGAACATCAATATCTTCAGTTTGGAGCTGCTCATTGATGTTGTAAAGGACTTCAACAAGGGTCTCTGAGAAGGGCCTGCCATTAACAACAGCTTCTTGAGCTCTTCTGACTTTTGCAGCAGCCACAAGCTTCATTGCCTCTGTGATTTTCTGGGTGTTTTTCACAGAATCAATACGGGTTCTGAGCTCTCTAAGGCCACACTGAATTGGAGTGATAGAGGATCTTGAAGGGGTGAAGGAAGATGAATTTTGTGAAGGAAGCTGAAAAGGGTTGAAGACAGAACGGAAGGAGAGGTTGGAGGCATCAGATAGAGAAGGTTTGGAAGACACCAACATTGTGAGATTGGAGCAAGACATTGTTTCAATGAGGTTCAGCTTTTTTAGGCTGTGCAATGGTTAGATTGCAGTAGACAAAGAGGGTATGAGATGTGTGGATTTGATTGCTTTATTTGAGATGGTTGTGTTTTTTTACTTTTGGGTTTGTGAGGTCTTATCCTCTCCTCATAGCAATGTGTTGCGTTGGGTTGAGATTGTGTAGTGCCATGGAAGTAACAAGTGGGAATGAGTGGAGGTAATGAGAGGAAGTGGATGAGGTTTTGGGATAACGATTTTGGCCGTTGGTGGAGAGAGGAGATTGGAGATAGGCCCTAAGGGTAGCTCTTGTGGGTCCAATCTGATGTGGCTTCTTTTGAATGGTGCTGAGTGTCAAGTGTCAACTGACAAAGGTATATGCGGCTGTTCGAGTCATGATTCCTTCTGCATTTTAACTTGGTTCATCTCTGTTCTCTCCCACACCACCTCAATTTATTTATTTGTTTAATGTCAGTGTCTATGTTTCTTAGTGCATGTCAAAATGTAAAAGATGCAGTGAATGAGATTACATGGAAAAATTAAGAAATGTTATTAGAGTTTACATAAAGATGCACCATTAAATTTAAATGAATTAATCTTCACACGTTTTGGTACGTGTTTACTTCTTTTTAGTGTCAAAACATCACAATTATTGGTCGTCAAAATAAGTGTTTACTTTTTTTTTATGTAGTTTATGTGATAATAAATTACCTCACTGTCAATAATTTTAATCCTGTTTCTATGTAATATTCTTTTTCCACTTTTGTCTAATATTAAAGTAGTTGTCAAGGTATTATTTTATTTTGAATTTGAATCAATAAAATTGAAACCCCGATTTTAAAAGCCTTCTTATTTTAGATTTTTTTTTTTTCTTCATTAATGTTTCCTTCCATCTTATCAAAACAAACAAAGGCAATAGTCGATGAATCACTACCCCTTTGACAGTTTTTTTTTTTGGTGAAGCAATACCAAAAACAAATGAATTAAAGCGTGGAAGTTTGTGCTCCAAAACCTGAGGCTACATGTTTCATTAAAAAAAAACACCTGAGCTACATGTATTTATTGTATTCTCAATTTATATTTCTTATTCAGCGCTTATATTATTCAAAAGGTTTCTACAAATATTTTCAATGAATGATGCAACACACACATGAATTAGGTCTAACTCTTTTGCGTGTCTATTTCTTATATTTCTAATTGAAAAATAACACATCAATGTAAAACCCTAACTAGCAAAAGAAAAAGAAAATGTTACTTTTTACTTTTTAAAAGAAAAATTAACGATAATTTCTTTTTTTCAAAAGTAAAAGAATAGAAGGAAACAAGACTAAAGTGATTACAATCCACATGAACATTAAAGGCAATACAGAATCATAGGCTATTTGATTGTTAAACTACAGCTAAATAACAACACTCATTTTTTTTTTCTTGGTTGCAACAACACTCATTTGTAATTCATGGGTTGCTTCACGAATTTCGGTTCATGAAAACCAGCATTGCCTTTCCCACTTGCTCGGTAACAAGGCATTGCCTTTTTAAGCTTCATACAATACCTAGACTCAGTTAAAGAACTTGCTCGATTTAAAACAACAAGTAATAAAATTACTACTTCAACAAAAGTAGCGCCAGAAAAAGCTGCGCAGGCAAAGGCAAGTTAAATGGATGACTAGCCCAAGTGTTCTTCGCACTTTTTTGAATAACTTCTTGGGATATAAGAATTAGTGAACCATAAAGTTCTATACAATTCATCAGTTTCACCATGAACAAGGAGCCAACGGATGTCCCGCAGTATAAAAAAATTTGTACATGATATATTCACTGAACTTGAGCGAATCAGACTAATTTTGCCCATGACCTCTCACAAAATATTTACAAAGACAAAATATCACTTCAACCTTTGCCAGTAATTGTACAAATCTGAAGTCTCAATTCTTAGTGAAGCACCAAGAAAGTGAGCCCCGTTAAAAGATTTGGGAGAAGGGGGGATAAAGGGACTGTCAATTTTCCTTCTCCTGTAGCACCTAAGCTTTGATTAACTGCCACTCAACATTTGGAAACAATATTAGATGCCAAACCCATCGTCATTTTCCATCTTTGGTTAGTCCAGATGGTGAATCAATCAACCATGTTCATCATTGCCATCATGGTTGAACTTTTAACAGTTCCATTTGCCAGAACACTTAAATCAACTCTCTTTATGATTACCATCACGGCCAGATCTTTGAACAGCCAATCCCATTTGCACTCCATTAGCCAGAATACTTCAATCAACCGTCTTCATGATTACCATCATGGCTTGATCTTTCAACAGTCAATCCTATATTTAAATTTGCATTTGATTTGCCAAAATGCTTCCTGGGTTTTCGTGGTGTGGTAGACCCATGACAACCTAGACTTGATTGTTGTACCACATCTGTGGTATGTCTCTCCTCTGTGACTGCTTTACCAATTGAAATTTTTCTGGAAGCAGGAGCTTCACCAACCTTGCTCTGTTGAAGCACAGCCTTTGAGAGTACATGATTATCTGCTGTACACGAGTCTAAACTTAACCATGAGGAACTACTTCTGTCATCCTGTCCCTCACAGGTGAAGGCCATATTTAGCGTAGTATTATTTGGAAGGAGGCCATCATCAACTTGAGTATCAGAATTGGACCTTGGTTCAAATGGGTTTTTGCTACCCGCCATGTACTTCACAATATCTTCTTCTGAAGAATTTGGGACCTCCTAAAATCAAAGTTAAAAAAGGAAGGTTAAAAGGGGAAAAAAATATTTCTATATGAATTAGCATAATACAAGAATAATGGGGTGTTGAATCTCAATATCTTCGATTCTTAGCGTGATACAAGATTATAAAGCAAAGAAAAATGACCAACCACTAACTAGCACAAAGGTTCTGCCCTTCTATTGAACTACAATAGTAATACAGGCTCATAATGCATCAGATGGTCATGAACCAAGAAGCAACCAAAAAAATAGGTAATAGATTAATGAAAAACATATCTACTGAAGCATGAAAAAAAAGTCAAAACTGAAGCATTTTCATGCAGCAAGGAGAAGTTTATAATGTGTAACCAGTGAATCATTCAGCTATTTAGAGTTTAGACATGGCTTGGCCAGTATGGCGGAGAAGCAGATAACTGATAATGATTATATGAATCTCAATTAGCCTGACTTAGAAAAGGGTCGTCATGTAGCCACTCATCGACTGATAAAATGAATTACCATCCAATGAAGGCACCACAAGAGGCAAACAAGATATAGTCAAATTTCGAAAAAAATGAACGCTACCTGGAAATAGAAGTCAGCCCTTCCAATGCAACGCCCAAACCAAAAAGTTGACTCAAGTCCTTTCTATGGTAAATAGTTCAACTCAATACCAAAAAAAAAATAAAAAGGTACTAAAATAATTTTTTCTCGCAAGTTAAAATTAATTTATATACTTCAAGTTTTGGAAAAATTAAATATGAGAACCTCTAAAAAAATACAAAGCATAAGTTGATATTAACTTATGGGAGAGATTTGATTCTTTTTTTTTTCCTACTTTTTTCTTCTGTAAGTATTTATTGAGAAGTTTGTCCAAACTAAGCTAAATACACATACAGACACACATGATTGAAAACTAAGAGCAAACTAAAAAGATAAACCAAATACCTTATTTTGAACCTCAAGAGCTTGTTCACAGCCAGAACCATCCTCTCCTTCAGAATCGGCCATCTCTTCACACTCAAACTCTACATGCTCTTCTTCAATATCTTCCTCAGAATCACTTAACTCTTCCTGTTCCATCACTATCTCAGGATGAGACTGATCACCAATATCATCTACCTCATATCTGGTGATGTTATCATCAGGAACAGCCAAAGGAGCACCTGAAGCAAGCTCATGGCTGCTAGCAGAAAGATTTTCACCACCCTGCTGACAATAGGCAATGCTATTCTCTTGAGGTTTCATCGTTGTTCCACTAATTGCAACAATTTTCTTGGAACCTATTGGATCATGTGCCTTTAGCTGTCTATTTTTCACAGAACTCTCCCTTCCAGACCCAGAACTTAAGTGAATCTCCAAGTCAAGTTCATTGGATTTTTCATTAAAGCCAGATGGTCTATGGGCTATAGCTGGCACACCACTATTAACCGGTGACTCAGGCTGAATGGCATCAAAACTGGTTTTTGATCGTGTATCATTAGATTTCTGCAGAAGTGGATGAAAATCAATGCCTCCTGACCTTAAAGTGAAATCCTTTGACTTCAAGGACTTATTAGCATAATCAATGTGGCTTTGTTGTTGTGAGCTATGGAAGAGACTCAGATTTAATTGTGGTTGGCTTCCAGAAAAGAAGGCAAAGGAACTAGAAGTTCCAGAACTAAATTTCAATGGATAATAAGGCACATTGCCATCCTCATTGACCTGGAACAAGAGAGGATGCATCTGAAGATCAGTACAAGTGCCTTTTTCTGCCACAATAGATCTGCCTTCAACGGTTCCAGATCTCTCTAATTGAGAATCTGGGACTCTGTCTGTCTGTCCTGGTCTTGCACCTTCAACAGGACGAATACTTTCAAATTTTTTGCCACCATGAGGAACTTGAGAAGCAGAATTATCTTTTGTACTAGCAGCTACCACACCTCCAGGAGGATAAATCTTAGATGTTCCACACGGAAACCCTTTAAAATCAGTTTGAGAAACTACACGAACAGATGGAGGGAGATTTACCGGGGGCAAATCTGGTGCTAATTTCACCAAGTGAGCATTATGTACCTTCCGAGACCTATAGGGCCGACAATAGTATTTGGAGCTAGAGGTCACCTCAAAAACTGGTTTCATAGGATTGATGGTACTACTAGCACCTTTAATGCCATTCCTCAAATCAGACGTAGCATGAAAAAACTGGGGAATCTTAGATATAGACGGAAATGCTGACCGATTACTGTTTTGATGTGGAACTTTTCCACTTAAGCCATAATCATGAATACCTCTATAAAATTGACTATCTTGAGAAATTGCATCATGAGCAAGGTTTCCTTCTCCAGATGCAATGGAAATGCGATCTGAATAAGTAACAGTAGATGCATCTGGCCTCCAGTCAGCCAGAAATGCCTGGTGGACATACGGAACATCTGAATAATCCATGCACTCTGAACCAGCAATTTCAGCATCACAATCCTGCATGAAATTTCAAAAAGGCCAAAAGAAGTAAATCTCAAAATCAGTGAATTCCAATCCTCAATGACCCATAGAAAAGCCAAGCTAAGCTATGTGCTCAAACTTGGCCATAGGCCCATAGTGCACCGAATAGATAGATGAAATGCTCTGGGTAGAAGTGAGAGGTTGTTTCTTACATGTCCAGTGCATAACTAAGAAATGTTGGAAACATATATAACTATATAAGTACATTTATAAGCACACCATCAATTTTTTATGCTTTATAATTTCTTATACGCTGTTGGTGCATGTACATATGAAAGAGGATTTTATAAAAGTAAATTAAAAACTGTTAATTGTGCATCTGTATGTTACTCGCCCTGAGAAATTCAGGTAGTTAACAAAAGCAACATTTAAGATGACCATAATGGCAATTCATACACAGGCAAGATCCATGAGATAAAATTTCAACATAGGCTTCTAAGCTTCAGACAGTAACAGACCTCTTTATCAGATATTGCTTGCCAACTCTCTAATGCAGCAGCCTTCAGCTTTCTTCTTTTTGACTCATACAATCTTCGCTTCTCCCTTTTTGATGCATCTACTTTGTATGACTTTTGAGTCCCAAGAGCAATGCGCCACTGTCGTGGAAGCAAGGATGGATCTCTATGTGGCACAATATATTGCCATACTGACATCCAATCGAATTTATAAATCTTAAGTCCCTGCGTATTTTTGGTCATACATCAGCAAGTTATATAGCAGAAAATTTTCAAATCTAGAATTCAATTGATTACATTACCTCTTGAATGCATGCCATCTCCTCTGCAGTCAATGGGGAGGTTTTCATTCTTCGAACTGCCTGTATAGAGAAATCAGGCAAATAATATCAAGAATTATTTAATAAAGTTACAGAGTATAGTATGGTTCCATATATGCTATATACATATATGCTATAAAGTGGAATCATCTGAGATAGGCCAAGAAAGAGCATTAAAAACCCTGGAAGGGAATGATTATATTTGACTTGGATCTCTAATTAGAGTTTAAAATTTTGGGCACCTGATAACTTATCTAGCTTTAATTGTTGATGTGTGTGTCACTTTGAATGATAAAATAGGGAAAAGTCACAAATCTTCAACTTGCAATTCAGACAATTGCCTTCCAATTCATGATTTGACAACCATGCATCAAAATAACTAAGATTCACATACACAACAATTGGCTTTTAGCAATGATCCTACATGCTAAGATACAACACGTGAATGCTTAGAAGTGGGTAGGAAAAAAAAATGAGCTTTCAAATTTAAAGTATTTAGCCATCCTATTTTTTTTAGGCAAGTTGGTTTTAGATTAACTTGGTCTTGGCAATATCAGATCTGACTCTGCCTTCTGCATTTCTTTTACTTTGATAAATAAAAGTTTAGGATGATGAGAGGCTCTCCTAATTCCATGGCAAACCAAACAACCAACCTCAGTGAGGATTTACGTTGGAATTAAAAATTCCATTAACTACATGACTACATGGAATTCCTAGATTCAAACCCAAGTCATGCAGCTGGCATAACCAAAAGGTTGTCCAGGTGAGCCAACCCCCTTTCGCTGCCTGATGCATATTTTACCTGTGCAACTATTGAGAAAAGATTCTCCTTCTTGGGCATCATTTTTTGTCCAAAAAAACTCAATATCCTATGCTTAGGAGGTTATAATTTACAGTTTCTCAGTCGATTTTATAATTCAAACAAACGTAAAGGAATTGAGTATTGACATGCAATACAAGACCAGGATAAAATAATACAACTATAATAATACCAGGATAAAATGTTATAAAGCATTTGGCACCACTGTTTTCAATTTTTGTCCATAATAAGAGGGTAAGAGAAAAGGGAGGAGAGAATGTCTTACAACTATAATCAATGTCCCAATATTCTTTGATTTCTAAAATTCATTCTTTACATAATTAAACACAAATAAGAAAAGATATATACAGCATTTCATTATACAGGATTAGTATATAAATTTACCTTTATTGGATTCTCTAATGCTTTTGAAGAACAACGGTTTTTCTGCCTGACAAAAATCTGTAACCAGACCATTCCACATCATATTAGATAGGCAACAAACTTAACCACCACAAACTTAACCATTATATTTTAAAAAAGGAATGCAATTCATCATCATGGTGACTCTTCAACACCATGCATCAACCCCACTTGAGCACAAAAATGCTAAAGGTTGGGTCCTTAAAATAATAACACAATACTAATACATTAAAAAAAGTGTATTCAGGACATTACTTTCACAACCAAGAATGTATTTGCCCAATAGACGAGTAAATCAATATATATGGCCATCTTTAACAACTATTAAAACCAACTTTCCAAAGCTGTAAACACAGTTTTACTGTCTTTACTGACAAAGTATATTGTTTTATCTTGAAACATGCTCGTTAGAGCCAAAAAAACAGTTGTAAACCGCCAGGCACTAACTCATTTACTTTGTTCTTTATCTTTTTCTTACTTCTCAGCCTAAATTTCAAGAAACCTCGCAAGAAGTTTAATTAATCAAACCTATAAATCACATAAATAAAATGAAAATGCTTCAACAATCAAAATACCCTCCTTCCAAAAGAAAAAACTGTCCTTATAAAAAAAATCCGCTATGGTAGTTACCTGATGCGTAGACTTGCAGGGAAGAAAACGTTGTTGAATTGCTTTCCAATCTGTGTTATATTCCATTATCCCTAGGGCTAGTAATCTGCAATTAAATCAAAAGGAAGAGATGTGAACTCCATAAAATTGTCATAAACAATGACGATGAAGGTATTAATAAATCCAAAAAATGCAGACTATCAAAGTCAACTATGATGAGAAAATGATTTGATATGTTAACTACGGTAGAAATTAGTAAAGAATAAAAAAATGTTCTAAGCTCCAACAAATAAAACAAAGCTAAAATGAGACACAGAGGCAAAAACAAAACAGCATCACAATGTCAATTTTTAATTGATCTCACTGAGACCAGAATAGGCTAGGACACATTCGGAAGCTATATTATACATCAAAAACAAAAGAAATTATTTCATGATAAAAGAAAAGATTCTCATCAAAAGGAAAGAGTACAAGGGTACAAAAAAAGAGAAATAAGAGAAACATGCTTGAACATACCCTCTTGCAAACACATACTCAAAATTAGGACTAATAAATATTACCTCTGTTCCTATTTATTTATCCAAATAGAGAAGCAAAAAATGTGTTCTTATTTATTTGTCCATGTAGAAGTTAAAGACCAAAATAATTGTTATTTTTCTACTAATATCCTTTTTGTCTATATACTATTTAAGTAGTTCAAGAGTCAAAAGAAAACTCATTGATAAAGGATAAATTAATAAGTTTAGCAACTAATAATAACAAAATAATTGAATTAACTGTGGAATTTCTTCTCTCTCTAGACAGATAAATAATAAAGGAGGTAGTTTCAAAGAATAAACATGTAGAGCGTCAAATTCAAGGGAAACATGACAAGATTTCATAGGAAGATAAAATATTGAGGTAAATATCTTCACCATAGACATCACAAAGATTAATTTTATGCTTTTCTTATGAAAAGAAAAAGCTTATTCATAGACATAACCAACTAAAGCAAACCTTGACACCTAACTGGAATTTCTTAAATTACTAAAACAAGCATAGCATAATAACTTAATAAGCACTTGAATATTCATTTGAGAGAAAATGGACATGTGCAGTAGAGTCCTGCTAACTTTATCAATCTTCATTTCCTCAAAAACACCAATGACCAATCCAACAACCACAACAATTAATTTAACCTTGATATTAGCATTCAGCATAAAAATTAAACAAACAAAAGTGTTACATCCAATGTTGTCAAGATCAGGATCTTACCTAAGATCGGAAGAGGGGTAAAAAATTGTAAATCATGGAATTGTAAGATCCTACTGAATGTGTAAAATTATATTTAAAACATATATATAAACATAGAAAATTACATGGATAAAAAATTCATATCTAAATTACCTAATTTAGTTAAATATAAACTTAAAAATCCTATATTTAAGATTCAATATAACACATAATTAGTTAAACTATCCATGCTGAGATTAGAGAACACATAATAAAAAATATATGGAAGAATATTTTTTTAAACATTAAAAAGACAAGTTATCCAACTTATATTACTTTACAATAAATAATACTGAAGTATTAGCTCTAGTTAACAATGTTTGGATTTATAGTTAAATAGGTGAAACTTAGATGCTTATAATGTTTAATAGGTTTTTTTATAAAATATGATATTCATTAATTTTTTAAAAATTATTAGAAAAATTAATTTTATACCATTTTACATATAAGTTAATGTCTTATTACACTATTTTATTTTAATATATAATATATTATTAATAAAGTTGAAAATTAATTTTTATAAAATTATTTTTAGGTAGTTACACTAGTAAAATGTTTATTTAAATTAACCTCGCTCACATATTTATATTGAAAGGTGTATTTATAACAAGATATATAAAAATTCATCTCTACTGCCATATGCGAAACAAAACTGAAACAATAGCTCGCAATGTATCTAGAGAATAAAAAACACCCAGAAAACATGAACCACCAATTGAAATAGGCAAACAGCAGCTCAAGAAACACCAAAACAGAAAACACGAACCACCCACCCAGAGAATACCTGCGCCCAAGGAATGCGAACACAATGCCTAGAGAATGTAGACCACCCACGCAGAAGCATGCCCAAAGAATGTGAACCACCCACGCAGAAGATCCCATTACAAAGCCACCCACACAGAAGTACAAACACAACGGGTCATTATATCCGACTCCAACACCGGGATCAAATCAACGATCCCACGATCTTACAAGAAAAGATCACGATCCCCAGCAATCTTGACTAACTACGATCTTGTTTGCAATCTAAATCGTGGAGGTTGAGCAAGATCACAAGATCGTGCGATCTCACGATTAAGATCGCGGTCTTGACAACATTAGTTACATCTAAGTGCCATGATATGTTGCAAAACATTGATCTTAGGCAAGTTTTAATTAGAAATTTAGGCTTTATTTAGGAGTTTAGTGGGGAAGGAAAGGGAAGAGTTTAAAGGAGAAAAAAGGAGAGGAAAAAGGAGGGAGAAGAAGATTAAACCCCTCCCTTGTTAGGACTTTGGATTTTTAATATTAAGAAGGAAGAGTGATAGGAGGTTTAAGTCTATAAATGACATTATACTTTATATCTTTTATTTATATTTTTTTTATTTTTACAAAAAATAAAAAATAAATACTTTTCTTTTTCTAAAAATTAATAATTTTTAAATTAATATTTTTATTTTTTTATAAATTTTTTAAAAAAATTCTCACTTAAAAAATAACATTTAAAAAAAAAGTTAAAACCTTAATCATGAAAAAGTATGAGAGAGAAAACATTCAGATTTAAAGAACTCAAAATACTAGCATTGAAAGGGCTTTGAAAGGTTTAAAAAAACCCCCAAACCCTTTCCTTCCTAATTAAGTAACTTCTAAATAAGAGTTAATCCCTCCCTTCCCTTCTTAAACACAACTCTCAAACATAGCCTTAAAGATTTTCTGAGATTTCATACCTCCAGGCTTCAACTCATGCAGATTTAAGAAGCAACATTAAACATAGTTAGCAGGATTGGTCATTGGTGTTTTTGAGGAAATGAAGATTGATAAAGTTAGCAGGACTCTACTTACACATTTCAGAAGCATAGCACATTTCACAAAAACTTGTTAAACATAGTTAAGTCGAAGATGAAAGCTCAAAAGTATTCTGAGATTTAGATCTTCAGCCTATATACCTATCTACATACATGCACACACATAAATGTATGTAAACCATAGTAGTCAATAGTGCCCGCTATTGCGGAGGAGCGGAGCGAAGCGGCAGGTTGCCGCTATAGGGAGCTTGTAGTGTTGCATTTCAGTGGAGCGGCTATCGTGCCGCAAATAGCAGCCAAATCGCGAGAGAATTGCAGCCATAGCAGCCGCTATTTCATCCCTGGCCAAAACCCAACTTTGCCCTCGCTTTCTTAATGTGGGACATCTTTAAATGGGGGTAAACTTAGAATTTTGCCTCCTTTTACATTTCTGATATCTTCTTCCTCACGAGCCCTAAGTTTTCATTTTCATCTCTCAGTTCTCTGGTTTATTCTTCCCCATCTTCGTTCTTTGCGACATTCTCTTGCTTCTGGTGTCCTTCTTCATCTTCGGCGAGGCTTCTGAGGTGACAGAGTCGTCCTCCGGTTATCTTCTTCGTCTCCAGCAAAGCTTCTGACATAACTTAGATGTGTTCCGGTCGTCTTCATCTCCGATTGTCTTCTTCAACTCTGGCGAAGCTTCCAATGTGATCCAAGCATTTCCAATCATCTTCTTCATCTCTGATAAAACATCCGACGAACCTGCACATTTTCTAGTGACTAACCAATTCTCTGCTTTCTTATTTCCTTATCTATTTTTTATCTCGTCTCTATTTTTTATTTCTCTCTATTTTGGATATTATTTTTATATTAGGTATAATACTTAGAACTTCAAAATAGCAGTCATCCCACTATGCCGCTATAGCGTTTTTGGGGTCGGCCGCTCCGTGCCACTATTCAAGATTGACTACTATGATGTAAACAGAATGAATGATAATGCTAAGTAACAAAATAAAGATCAGCATTTTCATAGTAAACCATTTAATACAGTTGACTTGCAGAGGAGGATACTTGCAACTTACTCATCCTCTGAATCAGTGAAAAGTACCCTATTTACAACTGCTGCCGGGGGTGGCTTATGTGGGAAGAGTGCCGGATTGAACATGGACATAAATCTTTGAGCCAACTTTGCCACTTCCTTCGGTACCAAAGCAATTGACTGCTTCTTTGTACTTTCAACAAGCATGGCAGCCAATGTTTTCTTAGGTTGTTGTTGACCAGGTGAATTTGTGACTGCATTTACTACTCCAGAGATGGTTCCACTTGAAATTTCATTGTTAGGTTCAGCAATTGTTGAAGAAAACGGAAAGAGAGGTTCCATTTCAACACGGGAATCACAACCAGACTCAATGTATCTCCTTCGAAACTCTTGGGCAGCTGTAAAAGGAATTTCAAACCAATGCATGAGTATGCAGAAGTCATTCTTATGAACTAGTACACTGGTTCAGAATGGAAAAGCATGAATAAAACTGAAAATCTTTAATATTGACCTACCAGAATAAATGTCGTCTACATATCTTCTGACTAAATTAAGAGGAGAAACATCCAAAATAGATTGTACAGGGCCTCTTACAAAAGGAACCCAGAAAGAACCCTCAGTATCTTGCAAACAACTTCTTTGCCTGTTCAAACCTTCAGAAGTATTCTGATTGGATTGAGAAAAGCTTCCGTTATGTGCATCTTGTGGAGAAGTATATTCCATGTTGCACTGGCCTGGGACGAATTTGGAGATTCCATTGGACATAGATGTGCAAGCAAAAGATGGGGTAAAGCAAACACTAGGATATGGTGCTCTTTTCAAAGCTAATACTTCATCACGTTTGTGAAGCATCTCAGAAAGCAAACCTTGAACCTGAGAAGCAACCTGGTTTTGGGAGGGTTCAAGAACCAACAGAGAAAATACCTGAATAAGAAGTTGCACATGCTCATGTATCAAACAATGCAATTGACCAATTTGTTCGGGAGTAAAGCCATTGACAAGACCATTTCCGGAAGCAGAAGACTGAAAGCCCAGAGTACCCTCAGGAATCAAACCTTTCCCTGAAGCTAGGGGTCCATTAAGCCAATTAGGCAAAATGGGGCGCAGTGGCCTCTTGACTTCTCCTAATGTTTTCTTCTCACATTGAGCAGAGGTCTTTTGGCGCTTATTTTGCCTAGTCTCAGGTCGTCGTCCAGCTCCATCATACTCTTTTCGGGATTTTACAGCTGCACCATCATCAGCATCACTTTCCAGTAATTCTTCTAGCTCTATCTCGAAGTCTGCATCGTTATCCTCATCTTCGTCATCAAGATTCCCATTTTCATGTGTTGAAGGACCATCACCATCCCCACCCTGTAATACAGCTGCTAAAAATTTTCTATACTCTTCTTCATCATCAGCATTTTGAAGATCATCATCATCATCAGTCTCTTGAAGAAAAGTCTCAAGCTCATCAAGAGTAAAACTTGCAAGTGAATAACGAGCTCTAGTGCGCATACAGATAGCATCCTCATTATCTATGTCTATTACTGGACTTCGAGATCTTTTGTTACTTAGTTCTCCTGTTCTAGAACCATTACCATCAGTCACACTGGTTTGGTCACTGTGCCTCTCTTGATTAGCTTCTGATTGAGAAATCATACTTGATGATTGTAAAATAATTTCCTCCTCACTGTGTTCAGTATCTACAACAGTACAGATATGCTCCTTGGTAGTTAGTTTTGGTAACTCTGAATCCGCAGATGGTCCACTATTGACAACATTACCATCCAAACCATCAACTTCAGAGCTCAAACTTGAAGATGCTTCTTGCGAAGGAGTTTCCTTTAGAAAAGGGTTAAAATCTGCATCTTCATCCTCTTCCTCCTCCCCTTCCTCCCCTTCCTCTTTATTCTCCTCAGGTTTCAAAGTCCTTTCATGGCTGTCAGAAGAAGAGAATACATTCTGATTCATAGCAGAGCCAATTTTTGCTGACTCTGAATTTGAACCTGAAGGCATCTTAAACAAACAATATATGACTAGAGTTTATTCTCAATATCTTCAGAGACATTCAGAAGTATGTCTAAGAGGAAGTATCCATAAGATGGAAGCAGAAGAAATGACTAGAGATCCTGAAGAAGAAAGCAGAGGTAACTGGTAAGTACAAAACTCAAGAGGGTGTCCAGTGCATATGCATGCAAGTGCATATGCATGCAAGTACTTATGCATGCATTTCTAACTCACATCACATCTAAGATGACCTTGAAAGATTTGAAATCTAACCAAATACTGGTTTTATTGAAAAATCAAACAAATCCAGAACTAAAATTTTTTACATTCTGTAAATTTATAATTTCCCAGAAAACTAGTTTATATCCATTCTTATCAAGCATATAAAAATTATGACGAGGACAAAAGGATATTACAATTTCATAGTTACATACCACAATATACCTTTAATGAATTTATCGCATTCCAAGAGAAAATTTAAGATCAACAAAATATACCAACAACTATAAGTATAACCACTAACAACACTGCAGAATAGTGTAATCTGTACACAAATTATGGTGCTGCACTTGCTTACTCCTGCGGCACCCTCCCCTTATCCTTTTTTTAGAGGAAAGAACTAGACTTATCCCCTCTCCCAATAAGAAATTAAGCATGATATAACAATCAATAATAAATAACCCCATTCACAACCACCAAGTATCGAGTAAATACACGTACTTAACAATGATACTTGTCTAAAGAAACACAAACACTTCAAAGCCTAATAATGCCCACAAGCTACAACTCTCAATGTCCAACGAGACTTCGACAAGGATTGAACCCCATTTTCAGACTACCAACAGAATCTCATAATTAACAATGTGATTTTGCATTGGTAAAGAAATTAACTAGAGAAAGTCAAGACCAAATTCTAAAATCCAACCAACGCCCGAATTGTGATCAATAATAATAATAATAACAATAATGAAGATGTTAATTAAAAGAATTGCAACAAGTGAAGTTGCGCTGCGACTTACTGAATTGAAAACATGGCATCAATTCAAGAACCCTAACAACCTAAAGCAAGTTATAGCAACCCAAAGCAAAGGCAAAAAGTAACCAAATTAGAGGTGAGGGGTGCACGTGAAGAAGCTAAGAGTTGCGTTGGTGGTGCAATGGGTGACGAATATGTTCTGCAAAATGAGCGTCCCGTGGATGAAGAGGTCGACAAAACAACGAGCGTACGAGTACGATGCTGTCCTGTCCCTTCTGAATTTACGGTTTTCTTTTCTCCCTCACAAACGGAAATTTTTTCCTATTCACTCACTGTTTGTTTTCTTTTCTTTCCCTTGTGATCTCTACACAGCCTTCACCAATTCCCCTTCTCCCTCCTCAGATGTTTGGTGTTTTATATATGTTTTTAAACTAAAAAAAAAAAAAAAAAGCAATCACACGTTTTCCTTTTTAATTTTAAAAATTAGGGCCCTGAGTTACCACACAAGCTTAATTATAATTTTAGTTTCATATGATTTTCACCATCTAAATTTTAATTATTTTCTTTTTAATCATTCTAAAATTTTATCAGTAATTAATAAAAATATAATAAATGTATAACATATTATTGATTAATACACATTTAAAAAATATGTATAAAATAATTAAATAAAAAAATTTATTATATTTCATAGTATTTTATCTAAATTTTTTTATTAATTTATATATATTGATAATATGTTATAATTCTATTATATTTTTAAAAATATTAAAAAAAAATTTAAATATTTTAAAAATTATAAAAATTAGATATAATCAATTAGAATTAAAAAAGTTGAAAGTACACATAAATTAAATTATGAAGAAAAGAAATACAATTAAGCTTAGTATATAAGTAATACATGAGTGCAAGACCATGTTGTACCCGTTTTGAATGATTTGTAATTCGGTCCTTCGATAAATTTTTTTAAAAGAATAAAAATTGAGAAGGAAAATTAGTTTTAAGGCTGAAAGGAATGAGTAGTGTTTTTGGGACGAGGTCATCGGGGTTTTTCTACGATAATTTAGTTGAATAATGTTTAAATTAGTTAAATGACCTTTCCTTAATGTCGAAGGTCAAATATTGTTTTATTTTTTTTATGATAACTAGTTAATTGACCTTTATAGAACTTATATTATGAAGAATGTTACCATGGTTTACTGGAATTTTTACTTTGTTTGAGAGAGGACAAATAACCTTGTTTAAGGAATTAGATCTTTTTATTATTTTTTAATTTTTTTTAAAATTATAAAATTATGAGTAAAGTTCATTAATTTAAGAGTAAATTTTACGTTATTTTGTAATCTTGATAAAGTCTAGGTAATAATTTGAGAATATGTTGATATTATTTCTCTTCCTATAAAAGTTTGCAGATTTTTTAATTGGATTGTATTTTTTTAAGATGGAGACACTTTATTTTCTTTGTATGATGACAACTTCCTGTAGGCAAGTAGATGAGTAAAATACCGGTAGGTAGCTTTGTCCATTGCAATTTTTTTTGCAAAATAGAAAGCATTCCTTTTATCAATTAGTTGCTGATTCTATGCACTAATATCGACCTATCGTGTTTTTAATCTGTCTCTATAGTTTGCACTATCTCTTCCTTTTATCTCTTTCTAGCTTGTATGTTCTATTGGCAAACTTCGAATTTCATCATTTTCTGCAAGATAAAATTTTATAAATTAACAAGGTTATAAAATATCTAAATTTCTTTAGTTATAGGCACTCAATAATGGAATGATCAAATTTATGCAAAAGTTATTTGAGGAGAAAATGACATGAAAAGTTCTTGAGATTCTCCTTTCTAAAGATAATGGTGGGGAAAAGCAATCAAAGCATTCTAAGAAAAAATGGAATGGCAATTTGTGTCTCTAACCTTGACACAACTATTATTCCCATCGTTTTACTGAAACAAAATTTATTACTAACAAGGCACAATATTTTAATATGTATAATTAAAGGTATTTTTTTGAAAAACTTTGTAATTTAAGTTTCTTTAATCAAGATATTGTAAAAAACTCAGATGCTGACTATTATACATATTCTTCATTATAATTGATTAATCGATGTTATGTTTGACTTGTTTTTTAAACTTTGTTATGAAAATTAAAGTTAAAAGTAACATTCTTAATTTGAAATTATTTATTAATTTATATTTTATGAAAATTAGAAGATTTTTTAGATTTAAAATTTACTAAATAACATGTTTTTAGATATTAGACTATTCAACCAAACACAAATTGTTTAAAAGAATATTTTAAAAGATGATTTTAAATACTAATTAAAAAAAATTGGTATAATACTTTTCTTAGATTTCACTTGTTTTAATTGATAACTTAGTTAATTTTATTTATATCTAACGAATTTTGACTTCACTTAAGGTGTTATTTTCTTATTATAATTCTCATGTCTCTATTATTACTTAAATTGCTATCTTAACTTCACATAGAGATTATATTTTTTATTTATTTATTCTTTGATGATGTTAGTGTTTGATAAATAATATATTCTTTGACAAAGAGAAATAAAATATTTATCATGTTTTAGATTTTATTGGTCAATTTAAAAATTATTATCATTTACTAATTTTAAAGTAGTTATAAGATGAATCATATGAGAAATAATAATATTATATAAGACTATAGTAACGAATGACTAATATGATTTTATTTTTTTTATGGTAATAGATCTCATCTTTGTGTTGAATTGAAAGTAATTTTTTGAAGTTTTAACTTATTGTATTGTAAATTATCATAAAATGATTTTAAAATATAATTATTTAAAAGTTGTAAATTTTATTACGAAAAAATCAATATTGATTTATCTTGAAATGTGTTATCTTACGTAAAATATTAAATATTTTATGTAAAATTTCTTTTATCTAATCATATATTATGTTGTTTGTGATGTTAACTCGGTATTTAATAAACTAATTTATTTGACATTTTTTATTTAAAGATCCTCTTGTTTTCTAAATAATTCTTCATATGCATTTTGTATATTTCTAGTTTTAAATAATTTATATATTCTATAATTTTTTTTTTCTCTTAAAAAATATATTGGGCTTTAAACAAAGAAGGAAAAAAAATTAAAATATTGTTTGATTTGAAAAAAAAATATTAAACTAAATAGATTTAAATTGCTCCTAATACTAATTTGTTAATTTTTTTTAAAGAAGTTTCTTTATCAAAAAGTTTTTTTTTTTTGGAATATCTTCTCTTATTAAATTTATTTGGTCCAACTTATTATTTTAATGCGAAAAGAAATAAAATAATAATAATTTTAGTCAAATACTAACTGAATTTATATATTTAAACTAAACCACACACTTATTCTTCCATTTGCTATAATTTGATTTCGATGCAGGAGCAACGATAGTACATCAAGTAATTAATAATTTGATAGATTTCAAAAGCTTGTATATTCGCCTCCTTGTAGTTAGTATTAGCACATTAGGCTAATCGGACTCGGACCCACCTCATCACGTCAATAACCTACCAAAAAACAAGATGGGTTACTTGATAATGACACTTTAAAAACAAGTTTTAAGTGATTTTAAATATTTTGTATTGATGAGTGATTTTGATATTAAATAAGTCAAATTAAAAAAAAAACATAAACACAACTTTTTGTTAAATGAGTAAATGATGTAATTTCAACATAATTAATAGTTATAGTATTTCAACATAACTATTAACGCTTCTTTATATTAACGTACTTGAATAAATAACGTAGTTCCATACTCTAAATTGCTTACATCAAGATTACATTTACGTAATTATTATCCTGTCTTTTGGATTTGAAATAGTTTGGTTATTTTCATATATAACATTTAACTTAAATTGTGTTTGATTAGGGTTAAATTATGTTTTATAATGCTTGAATTAAGTTTTACAAAATGAATAAAGTTTGATCTAATTATTCAATACAAGTTTTTTTATACATAAATGTATTTAAAAACTTAATAGTAAGATATCATAAAGATTTAAAAATATATTTAAATAGATCATTAAATATATTATAACTTCAATAATAATAATTATAATAATAAAACTACATTATTATTCATTTATTTAAATAAGTTAGTATATTAAATAAAATAAATAAATGACTTAACCTTTTTTTTTTAACTAATTTAACTTTTTAATTAGACCCGATATGAACAAGACCACGGACCTCCAACGAAACTTTATTCACTTCAATTTTTGTCGTTGGCCTTATTGTACTTTTAGAAATACAACAATTTATTATCAAATGAACAAAGTTAGATTTTTTAAAATATTAATTTAATAATGGCCACGAGTTGCACGCATTCGTGGGCAGTGAACGACGATGACAGAGAACAGAAATATTGCATTAAGTGTTACCTATGAGCATTTTATTAGCGATCGAATACATATTTTAAAATGTTTATTATAAATAAACAAATTATTACGGAAAGTGCTGTAGATGCTGTAACATCCTTGTCTCCTATTTTTGTTTAGTTGATGCTAATATTGATTAATTTTGGATGATGTTGTTGTTATAACAAATTTTTATACTAATTTATTTCTTTTAAGTTACATATTTTATCATATTTGTGATTTCTCTTATAAATTACTAAAAAAATATTATATTATGGCTTCAAAAAACGACAACGAGACAGAATGAAGCAATTACACGCAAAGCTCCCTGCACATCAACAATTCAGTTCTATTAATGTATCAGATCACTTGCTACAAATGTGGTGTAAGTCTGATCAAGTTTATTTGTCATGCAAATTAATTTTTTATAGTTTATTTAATTAAAATATATATTTACTCAGAGTACTTTTAATCAATACTTGTTTTGCTTAGTTTTTATTTTAAAAATTATTTTATTTTATTTTTTGTTAATTTGAGACTTAAATATATTTTTAATTTCTATATTTTAATACTTTTTTAGTCTTTTCAAATAATTTTTTTTTTGTTTTGTTCTTTTTATTTTAACAAATTATTATTTTAATTTCCTTTTTGTGTGTGCTTTAGTCAAATATTGATATTTAATGTATCTTGGTTAATTAAATCAACACTAAAAATTAAAAAAAAATGTTAAGGTTAAAATAAAAAATATTTGAAAGAATTAAAAACTAAAAAGTTGCTGAATGTGAAGACAAAAATCATATTTAATTTAAATTTAATTAGGTTTATAAATATATTTTTCTATTTTAATTCTCATAAAATGAGTTTGGAAAGTTATTAGGAATTTATTTTAATTGTATACTTTTTGTGGCTTCTCAGTTTTTTATTTTAAAGAAGGTAATGGAA